GCCAGAAGACTTGACTGACAAGGAGGACAATGCAGAAACACAGTCATCTGTGATCATGCAAGATGACTTCCCACCACAACTGGGGTAGGGGTGGGACAAGACTGGTTGAGACCAGGGTAGGACTGGTCTAGGGTAGTCTAGGCATGGTTGTGACAGTCACTTGGTGTAGGGGATGAATTGCACTTGGACATGAGTCATAAAAGCAAAACAGAATGGCATAGAACATAAGGTCAAACTCTGGGTAGCTGAGTGACAAGGCATAGGATATATGTTTGATTCAATTTATACAGAACCATCACATTTCATCAATATTAATATTTCCTGGTGTAGCAGATGTGGGGATTGTCAACTCCAAGGTCAATGGCATATGTTACAAGGGGGACAGCCAACTAGGAAGTTTCCCCCCATGTTGAAGGATTAAAAATGACACAAGCATTGGTGGGCTGAAAATAATATCTTCACTCTTCATATGTCACTCTAATGGGAAGTGGAGGAGACTCACAATGGGCTCAGTAACCACTTGAAAAATATGCCCTCCTATTGCAATCTTTGCTGGTCCAAGCAGAGGTAAGAAAGAGGTTGATTAGTGTTGCAGAAATAGTTTCATACACATCTGATTCTCCTTTGCAATACCCACAAGGATGGGAGATAAAGACTTCACATCGTCACCATGTTGCTGAAATGCAGTTGTGACAAGGTTGGCAACAGTAGCTTGAACACCTGATGTTTGATACATTGAGACAGCCAACTTAAGGCCTGTCTGAATATCACTATTCAGATTATTGGCCTGCAACAGGAAGTATAAATATTCAAACACAAGAACAGCACCTGAAATTGTGGGTTATAGGCATGAAATCATGACAGGATATTGATTACCAATGCCATGTTCTGCAATAAATTGCATGGAAGACTGTGGTGATATGGCCAAGGTAGGCATTTTCACAGAGGATGAGGAAGAAGTGATAATAGTAGGCTGTGATGGTATCAAATCAATTAATCTGTCCATGGCAGAATAAGGGAGACAAAACTGACCACCTGAGAAATATGTCATGGGACCATATGAGGTAATGCCAGTGAAGAACAGGGTCACAAACCAACTACAAACATTATCAGTACATCTTTGATCATCATATAAATTCAAAAAAAAGCATGTATTCTAGACAAGGTACATTAGCATGGGAAATAATTCTGAATGATGATGACTAACATGCTGATAAATACAAATAGAGAGAAGGTGCCAAATTGAACCTCCATGAAAATGTACACCTACATCCTGAAAAATGTGTAAAATATGGATATCACACAAATACAACAATGGTACTCACCAGCTATATAATATCAGCAACCTGTTCAATAATTTTGAATGAGACTCACATCCTATGACCAAAAATGCATCAGGTAAGAGAGGGAAATAGTGAGCAGACATCTAGCAAAAATCTACTATAACTGTACTCACAATCTAGAAATCCAATATCATAGAAGCAGTAACCATGATAAGAATGCAGGTCCAAAAGGGTGGGAGTGCACATGGTCAGAATGATTCCACCACCTGTCATGACTACACTCACTTCCTATGAATGCAAGTCCAAAAGGGTGGGAGTGAACATGGTCAGAATGCTTCCACCACCTGCCATGACTCCACTCACATCCTATGAATGCAAGTTCAAAAGGGTGGGAGTGAACATGGTCAGAATGCTTCCACCACCTGCCATGACTCCACTCACTTCCTATGAATGCAAGTCCAAAAGGGTGGGAGTGAACATGATCAGAATGCTTCCACCACCTGCCATGACTCCACTCACTTTCTATGAATGCAAGTCCAAAAGGGTGGGAGTGAACATGATCAGAATGCTTCCACCACCTGCCATGACTCCACTCACTCCCTATGAATGCAAGTCCAAAAGGGTGGGAGTGAACATGGTCAGAATGCTTCCACCACCTGCCATGACCCCACTCACCAACTATGAATGAAAGTCCAAAAGGGTGGGAGTGAACATGGTCAGAATTCTTCCACCACCTGCCATGACTCCACTCACATCCTATGAATGCAAGTCCAAAAGGGTGGGAGTGAACATGATCAGAATGCTTCCACCACCTGCCATGACTCCACTCACATCCTATGAATGCAAGTCCAAAAGGGTGGGAGTGAACATGGTCAGAATGCTTCCACCACCTGCCATGACTACACTCACATCCTATGAATGCAAGTCCAAAAGGGTGGGAGTGAACATGGTCAGAATGCTTCCACCACCCACCATGACCCCACTCACCAACTATGAATGAAAGTCCAAAAGGGTGGGAGTGAACATGGTCAGAATGCTTCCACCACCTGCCATGACTCCACTCACCAACTATGAATGCAAGTCCAAAAGGGTGGGAGTGAACATGGTCAGAATGCTTCCACCACCTGCCATGACTCCACTCACATCCTATGAATGCAAGTTCAAAAGGGTGGGAGTGAACATGGTCAGAATGCTTCCACCACCTGCCATGACTCCACTCACTTCCTATGAATGCAAGTTCAAAAGGGTGGGAGTGAACATGATCAGAATGCTTCCACCACCTGCCATGACCCCACTCACAAACTATGAATGACAGTCCAAAAGGGTGGGAGTGAACATGGTCAGAATGCTTCCACCACCTGCCATGACCCCACTCACCAACTATGAATGCAAGTCCAAAAGGGTGGGAGTGAACATGATCAGAATGCTTCCACCACCTGCCATGATTCCACTCACCAACTATGAATGCAAGTCCAAAAGGGTGGGAGTGAACATGGTCAGAATGCTTCCACCACCTGCCATGACTCCACTCACTTCCTATGAATGCAAGTCCAAAAGGGTGGGAGTGAACATGGTCAGAATGCTTCCACCACCTGCCATGACTCCACTCACCAACTATGAATGCAAGTCCAAAAGGGTGGGAGTGAACATGGTCAGAATGCTTCCACCACCTGCCATGACTCCACTCACTTCCTATGAATGCAAGTCCAAAAGGGTGGGAGTGAACATGGTCAGAATGCTTCCACCACCTGCCATGACTCCACTCACTTCCTATGAATGCAAGTCCAAAAGGGTGGGAGTGAACATGGTCAGAATGCTTCCACCACCTGCCATGACTCCACTTACCAACTATGAATGCAAGTCCAAAAGGGTGGGAGTGAACATGGTCAAAATGCTTCCACCACCTGCCATGACTCCACTCACTCCCTATGAATGCAAGTCCAAAAGGGTGGGAGTGAACATGGTCAGAATGCTTCCACCACCTGCCATGACTCCACTCACCAACTATGAATGCAAGTCCAAAAGGGTGGGAGTGAACATGGTCAGAATGCTTCCACCACCTGCCATGACTACACTCACTCCCTATGAATGCAAGTCCAAAAGGGTGGGAGTGAACATGGTCAGAATGCTTCCACCACCTGCCATGACTCCACTCACTTCCTGTGAATGCAAGTCCAAAAGGGTGGGAGTGAACATGGTCAGAATGCTTCCACCACCTGCCATGACTACACTCACTCCCTATGAATGCAAGTCCAAAAGGGTGGGAGTGAACATGGTCAGAATGCTTCCACCACCTGCCATGACCCCACTCACAAACTATGAATGAAAGTCCAAAAGGGTGGGAGTGAACATGGTCAGAATGCTTCCACCACCTGCCATGACTACACTCACTCCCTATGAATGCAAGTCCAAAAGGGTGGGAGTGAACATGGTCAGAATGCTTCCACCACCTGCCATGACTCCACTCACTTCCTGTGAATGCAAGTCCAAAAGGGTGGGAGTGAACATGGTCAGAATGCTTCCACCACCTGCCATGACTACACTCACTCCCTATGAATGCAAGTCCAAAAGGGTGGGAGTGAACATGGTCAGAATGCTTCCACCACCTGCCATGACCCCACTCACAAACTATGAATGAAAGTCCAAAAGGGTGGGAGTGAACATGGTCAGAATGCTTCCACCACCTGCCATGACCCCACTCACAAACTATGAATGAAAGTCCAAAAGGGTGGGAGTGAACATGGTCAGAATTCTTCCACCACCTGTCATGACTCCACTCACCAACTATGAATGAAAGTCCAAAAGGGTGGAAGTGAACATGGTCAGAATGCTTCCACCACCTGCCATGACTCCACTCACCAACTATGAATGCAAGTCCAAAAGGGTGGGAGTGAACATGGTCAGAATGCTTCCACCACCTGCCATGACTCCACTCACTCCCTATGAATGCAAGTCCAAAAGGGTGGGAGTGAACATGGTCAGAATGCTTCCACCACCTGCCATGACTCCACTCACCAACTATGAATGCAAGTCCAAAAGGGTGGGAGTGAACATGGTCAGAATGCTTCCACCACCTGCCATGACTCCACTCACTTCCTATGAATGCAAGTCCAAAAGGGTGGGAGTGAACATGGTCAGAATGCTTCCACCACCTGCCATGACTCCACTCACTTCCTATGAATGCAAGTCCAAAAGGGTGGGAGTGAACATGGTCAGAATGCTTCCACCACCTGCCATGACTCCACTCACTCTCTATGAATGCAAGTCCAAAAGGGTGGGAGTGAACATGGTCAGAATGCTTCCACCACCTGCCATGACTCCACTCACTCTCTATGAATGCAAGTCCAAAAGGGTGGGAGTGAACATGGTCAGAATGCTTCCACCACCTGCCATGACTCCACTCACTCTCTATGAATGCAAGTCCAAAAGGGTGGGAGTGAACATGGTCAGAATGCTTCCACCACCTGCCATGACTCCACTCACTCTCTATGAATGCAAGTCCAAAAGGGTGGGAGTGAACATGGTCAGAATGCTTCCACCACCTGCCATGACTCCACTCACCAACTATGAATGCAAGTCCAAAAGGGTGGGAGTGAACATGGTCAGAATGCTTCCACCACCTGCCATGATTCCACTCACTTTCTATGAATGCAAATCCAAAAGGGTGGGAGTGAACATGGTCAGTATCCTGCCACCACCTGTTATGACTCCACTCACATGCTATGAATCCCAAGCCATAGCCAAATTAGTATCCATGAAATCAGATTTTTTGGAATTTCACAGACCCTCTGCTCTCAACTCAGTAACACATCCATACCACTCACTGTTTTCTTACATATGGAAACCAGCATGAGAGGATATATGAAAGACTTGCTGGTTTAATCTTGCCAACCAAAGTATTCATGCATCTCATCAATGTCCTTGCACCTATCAGTGTATTTTTCTCCTTCTCTTTTCTCACTTACTTTGTTATTGCAAACTCCAAACACAGTTCCAAGTTTGACTGCTGTGATGATATGAGCAGCTGCTGCAATCCTTCCTCACTTAAGGCATTTGCTGTGCATGTTAGTAGGGGTGCACACTCAGCACCCTCTTTGTCCATTTCTGCAGTCATTTTCTCTGAAACTGTGCCATTCTTGGGTGATGGCTAGGATACTCACCAGTGAGTGACAGATAGTCATGTGGTGGAAACCTCAACACATCCAACCAACCCTTGACCTTTACAACACACTCATTCAGGTTCCTTCTTTCTACCTTTGCAGCCTTTTTCATTGCATCTTCTTCATCCAAACCATCCTCAATGAGCTCCTGGAAAGCATCCAAGGCCAAAGTATCTGTTTTTGTTAGCAATACAATTACAGGCACTGTGACAAAACCATTGAAATTTAAAACCAAACAGAGCACAGTCAATATACCCACCATGTCCTGTATCACACTCATCGAAAAACTTCTTTTCTGCAGCTGTGACCATCCTGTGGCTATCATTCAAAGGAATGCAAAACCTAAATCCATCACAGAAATCTTGTCACTTTGGTTAGGGTGTCAAACATAGTTTCCCCACCATATGGCATGAATTCTCTTGTCAAGCTTGGTTGTCTTGGCACGTTCCATCACGAATTCTTTCATCATATCAAACTCCCCTTCACTTCCGGCTTCAAATCCACGTGAGTCATGGAATACAAAGCGTTCATTACTTTTGAAAACCAGCTCATCCTCGATGTTGTGGTAGCCACGCTGAATACATACGACCATTCAATGTAAGCTCCCGGATATTCATGAAGTTACTTCACCTTTAGGGAACCCTGCACCACAGTAGCATCCACCTGAATATAGCCCGACACCTTGTTAATCTCAAACAAATACCATGAAACACACATACCTTCTCTCCTTCTGCATTGAAAATTTCTGGTTCATCCGTAGTATCACAGACCCTCTGCAGGATTGTTGTTTTACCTGCATTGGCTCTTCCCATGACGAGAATGCGAAAGCGTTTGATGCGACCGATGTGCTCTCTGGCTTTCGCTGGATCTAAGCGAAACCTAGAGCGTGCGGAGGCTGACACTGATCATTAATGTTCTTAGACTTGTCTTCATCGTCGCAGGTACAATGCTTACCGGTGGGTACTTCTTCAGTGTGTACAGGAACGGGAGTATCCACACTCTCCTCCGGAGAACGCGGAACCGTGGGTTGCACCTCGGTCAGTGCAGGAGCAAGCGCACCTGTTCTGTTTGACGGAGAATCTGGGCAAGTCACTAAATACACTAAAGGAAACCATAAAGAACACGTGCAACCACCTTGGGTAGGAGCGGAAGCGGGAGTGTCCACGTTGCTGGGGCTAGGGCCCGCAGGAGAACATGGCGGAGTGTTTTCGACCGCCGTGGCAGCATGAACACCCCCAATATTGACTGAGGGAGAGTCGGAGACTTCGACAGGAACTTCAGTCAGAGAAGGGACGTGAATGTCTGTACTGGCTTGGGGCTGAGCAACTCTAACGGGCACGGGAACTTGCGGAATAACTGCGTCGTCGCTCGGAGAAGGCGGCTGCCAAATACAACACAATGCCTTGAAACACGCCATGAATGATAAGAAGTCAAAGTTCTTGGAATGTCGCAGGAGCAGTAAGCGTATAGTTCGAAGTGAAGATGGACAAGTAGAGAGGGCGTGGAGTTGCGGACTGCTGCTGATCGATATCAAGGCGCCTGTCGATGACCAAATACAATACAATTGTGTACTATTGGTGGTGGCTTTTTCCGACACGAGGTGTACACGTTCTGATTTAGAAAATCTTTGGGTCAAGCTGACACTATTATTGTTTTCTTCAATCTATATACTACTCGGGTGTCATCATTGAGTGCACAGTGAGATGATTAGTGTTACAGGACCTGATTGCGTGTACTCATTGGTTCATTTGTTCGTGGCCAAATATATTTTCTACTGTACACTGGACGGAACGCTGATGTATACACCGTAACTTACACATGTCATACAGTTTTCCATCATGCGCAGCACTCCATCATTTTGAACCTGCGAACAGAGCATCAACCACCACCCTGACGCCCCACGCACCTGGATCAGGAATCCTCTCTGCTCTCAACCTCCCACCTTCGACGTACGCACTGCGCCCCGCCTTAGCCTCGAGGTCCCTAGTCTTCTCCGCAGCATCCTTAGCAGCATTGACGGCTACTTCAAGGCCGGACGGAAAAGCCTCGATGAAGGCCGCAAGAGGATCCACGAGCGTACGTGACGGCGGACGAGCGCGGGTATAGGTATAAAGCCGGTCGAGGGCACAGTTGAGCGCGATGCTCCAGATATCAGCATTGGCGAGAGTTGAGGTGCCCGCAAGACCTTGGGCGAGCGCCGAGAAGAAGATCCTAAGGGCAAATAGGAATCGGTGAGCAATAAACGTTTTATACTGAACAAGTAGAGACACGCACGAATAGAGGGCACCACTGGTTCCACCCATGGCCTCTTCGGCAACTTTGGATATGGCTATCATACTACCGATGACATCCTCGCCTGACACTTTCCCCTCTTCCAGTGCTTTGAGGACGCCTGATGCGCAGGCGAATTAGTAGGATGGCCTCCAGGGACCGGTGATGACATACCGTTGGCTCCGTCTTTCAGCGTTAAACCACAGTCACCGTCACCGGCAATACTATCCATCTTCGTGATCTCTGGCTCAGCGGTGATGAGGGCTTTACAAGCGTACTCGATCGAAGTGTTAAATGATGTAACATTCGTAGCCCTTAGTTTGGCAGCTTGTGCACTCGCAGGAGGGGTAGACGCCGTCAGGCTCTCCGGGATCCGCAGCGTATGAGTTGGCTCAGTCTTTGAGGACCACCTCCATCCTGGCGCTTCCGTTGGATCATCAAGGAGAGCGAGTAGTAAGTCGACAGACAGGGCGTGCTTGTCATTGGGACGAGGCAGTAGGAGAAGGGTAAGCGAAAACCCTGGCATATTGAGGCTAGTCTGTCAGGTGACCGTCAGCGCTACAATTAAAGTACATGCAACAGGACAGACCATAAACGTCCCAGCCAGTACCCGTCGCACATGTATACGCTGGTGGTCTAACGCTCGTTTCGTTTCGTTGACGATGGCCCCGAGCTCGAGTTCGCTGAGCCCTCCTAAGTTGTTTACGAGGAGTACAACTTCGTCCTTTCCATCATTTCCGAAGGGTACGAATGCCCGTTCAGGGTCGGTCGTCGAGGTAATTAACTTCAGAAAATCGTGTACAAGTTCGTTCAGAGGGGGAATGGGTGAGATGCGGTTGTTTCCACTCTCATTGTGGATACCGAGCCCGATCTCAATCTCATCAACCCGAAGATGATTGTCTTGCACGGAAGTCCCTGGGACCTACACTGTGCGTGAGTATCGAGAATTTCCAAACGGAGGATATAGATGAAGCGGACGTGACAGTGCTCTAACCCGACACCTATGGTTCCCAATCGAGACGAGACGTATTGCGCAACTTCATACACCTCGTCGAGGGAGCCACCCCGTGTGGCAAGTCCTCCTGCTATCTTGTAGACGAGGCAGACGCCGGCAAGACCTCTGTCATCACAGTTGTGAAGGCATTAATAGCCTGGCACGGATATACGAACCTCCTTCCAACGATGTATCCTTGCGTCCTACCAACAGCAACGTCGTCGCCAACCACGATGAATTTGACAGAACCCGCTTTGTCCGGATGAGTCGCAGCGTACTGTTCCTTAGCGAGCCCGAAGTTCAGGACGTCACCAGTGTAATTCCTTAAGTGCCATCAGAAAACTGCCTAGCGCCCAACACCTTAGTGCAGCGTACTTGACAATGATGATTGTTCTACCCGTAAGGCATGTCAGAACGGTAAAAAATACAGACGCGAGGCGGGCGCACCCTCTGTCATTGCTGATTAGGTCAATCGCACGACGGACCTGGCTGGAGTTGGGAGACGCGAATACTGATCCACATACCGCAGCTACGGGACATGATCCGTGGCCCGCTCCAGTACATAGAATTAAAACCCTTACCGGTCAAGATGCCTTGTCCTGTAGAGGTGTCATACCTAAGATCACTACAAGAATACATCATATCATGCTTTACCAACGAATCCTGAATGCGACGGCTCATGTCCAGAGCCCCCACCACACAAAAGAGCAACTCTTGACCGATCTTGGTTCGTGACGTGGACGACTTGTCACGACAGAATCAGATGGAAATCATAGATATGGAATTCAGAGTCTAATACACCTTTGTTGGCGACATCAAGAGAAAGGTTTGGGTTTAAGACGCATAAGCCTTGCAGGGAATCAGTCACCAGCGAGGACACCGATACAAAGTGTTTGCCTGGGCGGTTCTCCAGTCGTCATGAACTCGAAATACCTGTGTGCGTTCACTTCACTCTGCACGGCCATGGGGAGTCGGAGGATAGGGTGGTCCGTTCACCGTGACAGGTGTGACCGTGACGTACGCGTCAAGCACTGCAAGCCTATTCCAACGGAGATGCGGCTGTCAAGTCAAAAGAGTTCTTGCAAGTCGGATTTCCCTTGCCTTCCGTTCTTTTCGATCCAACCAAATGTCATGAACCTGCCGTCGCCAGCACCGTCGCCCTCGTCGAAAACCAAGGATTTGGACCCAGGATCTAACAGTCGAAAGAGACAACGCTCAGAATCTTCACAATCAACCACGTCTTCTGTAAAGAGATCTGCATCTGAGGGGCCTGCATCGACACCTATTCGTACTACCACGGACGACACAACTCATACAGCCTGCGTATCCGATTCCGACATCGACTCGTACATGATGGTGCAGGGCGAGGATGATGTCTGCGCTATGACTCTCCTTGGTCCTGCCCAGCCGGTCGCCCCGGTTAATTTGACCCCGTCAGAGAAGTTTGAGTACATCAAACGTTTTCGCTGCAAGTCAATGCAAGTAGGAGAGACGTGGTTCCTCGTATCGCGCCAGTGGTACAGGCGATGGGAGTTCGCATGCCAGGGCACCATGGACAAGAGTGGTACCGTTGAGGAAAAGGACATTGGACCGGTGGACAACACGCCGCTAGTTGATCAGGACGGAAACCTCACCTCCGACTTGACCGAGGGTGTAAACGTCGAGTTCCTCCCAGAAGACGCTTGGAATGCATTCACAGCTTGGTAGTGGCGCGTTTCTTTTCGGCCCCGTTTTGCACACTGATCCGAGTATGACCAGGTATGGTACCCCAACCCACGCACTCCCTCGATCTGTAATTTCAAGGGGACAGTTTGGGCAGCCAAGTTTGGAACTTCGTCCTCCCCGTCTCAGAGTGCTGTACCTCGCGGAAACCAAATCCGACCAGACCGATCGTCCACCGGAATACGTCACCCTCTCTACTAAAGATACTGTAGCGCAACTTAGCAGACAGCTGGTGGCCAGGCTTTCTGCGCGCTCCGACATTCCTTACAGAATTTGGAAGATACAACCAGGGGAGTATGAAGGAGTGCAGTTTCCAGCAGAAAAACTCTTGCCGTCGGGAGCGGAACTCCTGGAGATCAGTAATAAAACCCTCGAGGAGTCATTGATTGAATTCCACGATCCCTTCGTCGTGGAGTTCCAGAAGGACGGGAAATGGATCTCGGATCAGTTGACCTCCGCTGCACAGCCTGCAGTCTCCGAACCCGCACCCCTGTTCTGTCAGGGAGATGATTTCTTTAGTCGTCTCGCCAGTACTTCTCAACAACCCGCTCAGCAACGACAGACACCACCGCCCACCACTGTCACCGCCAACACATCGTTTTCCAAATCGAAGGACACCCAGATCACTCCTTTCCGCCCTCGTGTGTTTTCTAAAACTAAGGTTGTGCAAGAGCCAGGAACTCTCGGGCTTGCTAATATGTACGTCCCCTTTCGCTTGTGAGGAGTAGATTCTTAGCCAATCTCAGGGGCAATACCTGTTTTATGAACTCGGCCCTTCAGTGTCTAGCACATACTGAACAATTGGCAAACTACTTCCTTTGTGCGTGGCGTTCTGTTATACTGGGTCGTCTTTGTTCATTTCATTCCACATAGCTGGTGTGTATCAAAGTGAACTTAACCCTGAAAATCCCCTTGGAATGCAGGGTGCGATTGCTGAGGCCTTTGGATCGCTCCTTCATCGCATCTGGGCGAAAGACCTTTCAGCAACAACTTATTCCCCTCGAGAGTTCAAACTGCAACTACAGCGCTTCGCGCCACAATTCTCTGGCTACCAACAGCACGATTCCCAGGAACTTGTCGCCTTTTTACTAGATGGCTTGCATGAAGATCTCAACCGGGTGCGCAAGAAACCGTACGTTGAGAAGCCAGATTGGGAAGGTGGCGGAGACCTTGAACTCGCTCAGCTAGCACAGCAATCATGGCAAGGTTATATGCGACGAAATGACAGTGTAATTGTCGATCTCTTTCAAGGCCAGTACCAAAGTACTCTTGTGTGCCCCGAGTGTCACAAGGTCGGTTCTGTATGGTCCGTGCACTTGAGTTAACATCTTGACGCCTTTCCTGAACAGGTTTCCATAACGTTTGATCCGTTCATGTACCTTACCCTTCCGATCCCGATTGAGAGGAAGTGGTCGCACACCATACGTTATGTACCGTGGGACCCCTCGAAACCTCATGTCGAAGTTAGTGTTTTCTTGTCATGTTCTAGGGTCGGCTAACGAAAATCATAATCCCAGGTGCCTGTAGAAATTGTCCGAGGTGCAACGTTCAAGGATCTCCGCTTACTACTTGGACGTTGGATGGGCGTACCTGCAGAGAATGTACGTGTCGTAGCACTCAGCTTTTACAGTGAGTTCACACTACCTTTTAGCTTCTTACAATGGAAGTCTTTGGGCACCGCTTCTACAAGAACCTCGACGATACCGTCCAATGTGACGATATGTCCGAAAACGATGTAATCTTCTGCTACGAGTTGCCGTGCAATGCTCGCCAAAGCCGTTCTTATAAAGCAAAGAACGATGATCCTTTCATCGTCCCGGTATTCCTGAGCGACTTGCACGCGCGACCAATGACCTATGGATATCGCAGTCATGCAGCGTTCGGGCATCCTTTCTTCGCCGTTATCGACCGGGAAGATGCGCGCACCGTTGACGGAATATACAGCGCGGTTGTCGACTACCTGCAGCGATGGTCTCATAATGCCCGTGATCTGTATGTCTGGGAGGAAGGGCAGGCTACCCTTGTCGATTCAGCGCCTATAATTGTACCACCAATCGATTCTCTCACCGAGATTAAAGTGAACGGCGATGCCACGGAAGGGATGCTTATCGAGGACGACATTACGGATGCTTTTGGAGAGCAGGACGCACCCCCCGAGGGCTCTGTTGATATTGTCCTCCGGAAGGTCGGGGTGAAGACGACTTTCGACCTACGCTTTCAATCTGGCCAGAAAGACTACACTGCTAGTTTCGGCTCGTATAACTCCCAGCGTTTGGAAACATGGGACGATCGTATCGAGCAGATGGGAGAAGATGTACCACTACTCAAAGAGTGGGATGCACTCTACTGCGACTTTGACAGAAATATGAAAACGTACTTCTTCGGCGACGAAATTTCGCATTGGGAGCACTCCACTTGGGAGGCGTGGGATAAATTCATTCACCCCGAGTACGCAGAAGCGAAGCGGGCTTCGTTAAACAAGAACTCGAGGGTTATTTCCATCGACGACTGCTTGGAAGAATTTACGAAGGAGGAAAAGTTAGGCGAAGATGATTTGTGGTACTGCCCTCGTTGCAAGAAGCATCAACAAGCGACGAAGAAATTCGATCTTTGGAAAGTTCCGGACATCCTCGCCGTTCACCTCAAGCGGTTCAGTAATAGTCGTGCGCTTAGAGACAAAATCGACGCTTTCGTGGACTTCCCGATTGAAGGGTTCGACCTTACCCGTCTAGTTGGTGAACGCGAGGTTGGAAAGAGGCTGAATGAGAGCGGTGCTAACCTCCAAGAGCTTGGTATCCATGATTTGGATGAACCACTTATCTACGATCTCTATGCCGTCGATGAGCATTTGGGTGGATTGGGTGGAGGGCATTATCGTGCTTGTGCCTTCAACCACGTCATTGGACAATGGTATCACTTCGACGATTCGTACGTGACACGAACCGAACCGATGCACGCAGTTGTAAGTTAGGCTGAACTAACCGAAGCGTGTTGCTTATTCCCGTACTTAGAACGCCAACGCGTACCTGTTGTTCTACAAACGCCGCAGCAATCGGCCATTGGGTGGTAAAACCCTACAGAAAATAGAAGAGGCCGCGCAGGGATCGATTGAGGATGATGATATTACTCCTGCTGAGCAGCATCAGCTTCCAACCCCTCCCGAGGAAACCTCTCCGCCTGCTTTTGTGACAGCGCAAAGCGGGTTCTGCGCCCCGCGTTCGCCTGGAAAAGCAACACCAGGATCATCCTCACCCCTCGACGACCTGCCTACTTTTGATGAATCTCAGAGCGACCCGCTGATCCAAGACTCGCTTCTCCTGGATACAGGTGGCTTGCATGCTTCAGAACTCGAATGGAGTCGTATACCGTCACCTACATCATCCGCGGCAACAGAAGGTGACGATGACTATCAAAAACTCTCAAGCCCAGACGAGTCATTAAACAGAGGCTGGGATGACAATTCCCCCGCCTCCGCCGTCACCTCAGATCTGTCGCCCAGCCTCCGGCCAATGGATGGATAGCTACCGCGGACTTTGAGATACCAGGACATTAGAAAGCAGCGCTGTAATCTACTTGCACGATCGCCAGTTTAATGTACTCCCTAGTAGATGCCTCAGCATGGGCATGCGTGCCCCATGTAGTAGTTACTGGGTTCAACTTTCTGTTCGTACACGTTTATTACTATAGCTAGTGCGTTCCCGGTGTGCGCGTGAAAACGCCATGGCTAACACGCGCAGTTGCCCACCATCCCAAACATTCCGGCACATATGAGCAGAATACCTGCAGCTCTGCTGTATCTGACGATATACAATCCTACCATACGTCCTAATACCACGGTCGACGAAGGCGACGAAGACGCAGAGGAACAAGCCCAGATTCTCTTCTACACCTCACGAGACCAGGCCACTTCACGGGACAAGACACTGAGGCAGGTCGGGCTCGCTAAAGCCCTCATACATTTCGCAGAGTGAGAGAAACATAAGATTTCCGGCGTTTTGGAGCTGAGCTTTTGGTAGGACATTCCAGACAGCAAGTTCATACCAGAATGTCCACTCCCAATCTAGGAGAATGGTGATGCTTAGTCCAGAACCTAATTTCTGGATACATGCAGTATGTTAGACGACTCAGTTCCATGCAAATTACTGATCGCTCTTAGGCCATCGAATTGGCCAAAACTCTTCAACCTCAGTCCTCGAAGTCGAAGTCGAAATCGAAGGATAAAGGGAAGGCGAAGGAAGCAAGCGGCGGGGACACACCTGCCCCCGAGTACTACGACGGCTCACTACACGACTCGGCTATTCGTGCTCGTTTGCTGCGGGGTTACGAACAATTCAAGGTTATTTCACTCCTTTCCATGAGAAAGTGGTTGCTTACATGTTACACATGAACATAGATAGTTCACGGATCCTTTACCTCTATATTAGACTCACAGGGACAACAAGCATTGGAATCACAACTCGAACACTTCTTCACCATCTGGGCGTGGTCTTGGGATTTGGAAGGAAACTCTAATCTGTCTTTGGACCTTGGTAGGTCCATTCGTCCGCGAAGTAAACCCCTGCATAACCTCTGATAGGTCCGCCACTCCATCCCATATATCCCGCAATACTCCCGGTCATCGATACCTTTTCTTCACACCTACCTGAAGGTCTGGAAACTATTGTACTGACACCAGATCATGTCGCTCCCTCTACTGGATATAGAAGTCTACATTATCCTACAACTCTTGCACGCCACTTAATGGGTCTGGTCTCACGGAGTCATCATGAAACTAGGGCAGGGTTACCCCATCTAGACCGACCGTCCGAAAAGGCAGAGCTGCCGGACAATGGTGTAGGACCATCTTCAACTGCGGACGCCCATGCATCCAATGCGTCCAATGGTTTTCTCGGAATTCCCTCGAAGGCCGCAGACGCCCGGAAATGGGGATGGCCTGGCGGATTCTTTCTGAGCCGGAACTCAGTTAGAAAATCCAGTAACGCAAACTCGGTAACCCAAGGTAGCCCTCCGGGGTCTATCGCTGGCAGTTCCGTTGCGCCGATTGATCAAGACGCGTTGGACGATGCGATCTCCCACAACTCGTTTGGTTCAAACGAACAGCAGGATAGAGGATTTCCGCATGCGGACTTAACGCCATGCACAAATGGTGACGTGTCGCACGACAATGCAGAGCAGCAAAGGTTTCAGCCGCTCGGTGTGGGAACTCCCCGTCCATCGAGAGCCCCTTCTCCCACGTTGACAACCTCGGAGGCAAGATCGAGCTCCCGCTCAGAACTCAATGACTGCAAAGCATCGCATCGCATACATTTTATATTTCTTGACGTGTTTTTAGCTCCTGATGACAAACCTTGGGCAACTTCCCGCCGCGCTGTTGCTTTGCTGAAGGTCAGTGAGTATTCAATCGAAAGGTAGAGTGTCCAACACTGGTCCATGAGCAGAGGAACGATATTGCAGTCGCACTCGTTAGCAGCGATGACAATGACCGCATCCCCAATGACGTTGAAGCGCTGGCGTCACAAACTTCACAGCTCCTAGAGGAAATTGATGTTACTTTGTCTGAAGATGCTCAACGGTGCGTTTTTTTTGCTTGCACGGATACGTCTTTTGAGGTCTAGTTAGAACTCTGGACTCTTCACTGCCGTCCGCGACGAAGATACTGCAACCTCGGGATGCCCATTTAATGAAATCACATGACTATATTCTCGGAGGTACCGGAATGTCTTCCCTCACTGATCACCTCTATGATGCAAAGGAGCTGCTAGAGAGGTAATGTACCACGAGTGAGGTTTATTGGCGGCTCCTCATCTTGTCGAGCAGACAACCAAACACAGTGGAAGTCTTCTCGAGAGGCTTGAGTCCGCAACACTGGCATGTAGTTCACCGCGAAGATGGCAGGGGAGAAATTTACGTACAAGTTGCGCGCAAGGAAGCCAGCTTATCGGATGTCGACAACGTCGTACAAAAGCTGTATAAAAGTTATCCATGATGGCTGTTGATGTGCCACATTTTGTTGGGACAATTGTGCTTGGCGAGGGCTTGTGCGTATGTGCCGCAATTCCGACTGATCTTCTACTATTCGGATCATACAGAAATACAGGAGCCAGAGTGAAACGCAGTCAGTAAATCATTTAGTTAGGATGATAAGATACTGATTGAATATACGCACAAGCAACGTCCCTTTTTTATCTGCTTCATTCTCATATCTCCCGCCACAGTGCTTTCAGGGAATACGTCGCGCAAGTGGGATGCTCCTGCCCGCGAGCCAGCAGCATAGCAAGTAGCAGGGGAGATCAAGAATCTGGTGATGAAGTATGAAGCTGTTAGCACGGGGAAGGCTCAGAATGCGACTATATACAGCGCCCAAGGTCTTGGCAGGTGTGGTAACTCGTGCACAGGCTTTGTCGCTCTTGCGTTCACAATGCACGTGTTTGCAAGTACTTACCATTCCACTTCACACCGGGCCGAACAGGGCACGGCAAATGAATGTGGGTGCCTATCAGGCCGATCACTTTAGAATTTAGCAATCATCTACTAAGATGAAGCGATGCGCCCGAGTATATCTTTCTGATCGATTCCTGCTGGCTCTCATTTCCATGGATCTTATAGCACAGCAATCGACCCTCTTATTGAATAAGGCTTCGATCCTCGCGGGAGATCTCAGGGTCTTGCCGACCAGCAGAGGCGAGGCAGACCCACCGCACATCCCGGGGGACGGTGGATATACACAAATTAGGTCGAACCAGATCGATACGCTCTGGGCCTCCAAAAGTTGTGTGCGATGGTCACAGGTACGTCGTTCCCTGCTGACAAGATAACACGACGATGGGCTGGTATCGCTTGAGCGAAACATCAGGAATTTTCTACAAAAGGGTGAATGTGGTCTGTCCAACCCTGCTGCCTGGAAACTGGTCATTGATGCACATCTGATATTATAAGCTGCGAACTGTGGCGTCGGTGTCTCCCCATGTGACCTCCGGGCGCCGGTTGATGCACATTACAGTATAGTCTTGCATGTATGTCGCACGAGCCTTCGAGCGATCAAGTCGCGTGTTCGCTTCTTGATACGTTCCCTGATCGTGGAAGGCCCTTGTGCGACCTCATCAGTATACATAGCATGTTAGCAAGCTTCTTCAACACAAGACCCCACGTCAAGTCGTACAAAGAACTAAATGCTCATGCGCGAATCTACCGCGGCAGATGCCACCCCACCTCGTTGTCCGGTACTCTCTGCTCAGCGCAGACGGGTACGTGTTAGTAAAGATCAATCAAGCAAATGTCTCAAGCCTCTCCTCATACGTCAGAGCAAGATGAGTAAAACGCGCGGCGGGAACGCAGCGGACCACTGGAGGGCCTTACAGCCCGGACTGGTGGGGCACTCATACACTCGGGGAGTAGGCGGGGTACAGGACCCCACGCCGATTAGATCAGGTAGTCGGGCATAGTGCTACATAGAATGCACAGTAATAATCCTCATCGCACTTGAATTGAAAAAAAAAAAAAAAAAAAAAAACAAGCTACTTCAAATGCAAGCCCTCCACCGGCCCGGCCTCGCCTGAACTCCTTCGCGTAACCCTCTGGACGGCTAAATATGTACAACAAGTGACCGAATGGCCCCGTGAAGCTCGAAGCTTGAAGGATCGTGTGGACAAGGGTTCCTTGATCAGCCGATCTCTAGCGAGCTCCTCCTTTCCATTTCTGGGGACTCTTATTTCTATATCCGTTGTTGGCGCGTGGTGTGGGTAATCTCTGCTCCCTTACCTTCCCACGTGTTGCAAGCGCTCACTCGGCTGTTGCCTTGCTTTTTGTTGTGGCTTTTGCGGATTTATTAAAGCTATTAGCGAATAGAAATACATGCGATCGCAGATCTCGCCTACATATACGGAAGATTATCTATTCTGCGGTAATAGTAATAGTAGCACCCACAGAGAAGGGGAGCATTCGCTAAACACCCGCGTTACTCATCAGTGTGTACAGGTTCGTACCTTATTGGTGGATATTATTATATCCCTACGTACCATGCCCTCAAAGTTCATTGAGGGGATACTCACGGCCCCATTTCCTTCGCCTCCTCACTACCGTCGGGTGAATGCTCCATAGTTGCCATTTGATAAAGTACTGGTTTGGTCGGACAAGTATCCCGTCAGGTTCGTCGGCTTTTGTCTCCGTGGCCCCTTATTCCCCTTTCTACACGTTCATTCAATCCCGTGTGCCACAAACTAGCATGGCTTCTCTGTGACTGAACATATCAGTCGTTGGAGGAGGTTAGGTTTCATCCTTCTATGACAGAGTCTGCTGAATCCGCAGTTCATAGGTATCATTGGTCTAGCCGCCGCGTTCAGGTTGGACCCAGGCTGGAACATAATATGTGTGTGTGTCATCGAGAAATCAAGAACTGGAAAAGTAAGTATATTTCCGAAAGGCGTATCTGTGGGTAGAGGCATCGAAACCTTGCAGAAAGTATGCGGCGTTCGCGTTCCTCCTAATCCCACCCGAATTCTTGACGAGTGGGGCTTAGGGGAGGAACTCTCTCGATATGGCTCAACAACTACGAGCAGCGAGTGTTTTTCTAGTTGAGTGTGTTCTAGATTCAGACCTCGAACCCTTCCTTGACTCCCCTCATTTCAGTGGACACTGGAGATCTCCTTGGTCATATCACGTGGCAGGAAGCGGTAATGGACGAGATTGGTGCCCGCTTCTATTTGATGCATGTAAGAAATCCCACAATATTACTCTTCCATGCTTAATCGCTCCGATACAGTACCAAGATCTACATAATATATTTTACAGAGCGGCGACCTCCGCAGGGATTCATATATCATTTAGCACGCCTGTGATCCAAGTGGAAGTGCACCCTCCCGGAGTTCGCCTTGCCGCTGGCGAGGTGATCCGCGCTGATTTGATTGTAGGAGCGGATGGCGCAGACGGTATCACCCGTGAGGTTGTCGAAAGGTGCAGAGTCGAAGACACCATTGGCGAAATGAGTTTCGGTATGCATGTAAATCACCACTTCTCAGACTGTGTGCAGCCCTTATTCATCACCGCTAGTGCAACGATTTCGAGAGAGCAGCTCAAAAAGGATCCCGAACTTGACGCTTTTACGCGCGCAGAGTGCGGGGGACCACAGGTAAGGCGTGCCCCATAGCTGTAGTTCAAGAGGAAATAATACTGCTGGTCCAGTGCTCTCTATGGATGAAAACATCATCCCACGCGACTGCCTTCGCTGTGGTAATGATTTTGACTAAAAATACATGATCAATGACCTACCAAAACCGTATTCGAAAGCGTGGTGGTAGCGAGTACATGGTACATCTATTCTGACCAAAAGACGTGAAACATCACGGTGGCGAACTATCCCAGGGTTCGGATGTTGAAACAACAAGAGAAAAATTGAAAATCACAGGAGACTCCAAGTAGAGACGTTTTTCATCTATGTCAGTAGACATCGTGATATCCGGACTTATGCGGCTTTTGGAGCTTTGCTCCACCCTGCAGCGCTGGCGGCACACTCGGAAGCAAGCCGCATCCGACTGGACAGGCCCGTCGGGGGGAATAATATTGATGGGCGATGCGTTGGCGATGCGGCGCACCCACCCATTGTACGTACGGCAGTTACATTACGGGACAACCTTGTTCTTACCATTGTTATTCTTTTGCGATTACACAGCATGGAACAGCTTCCTCACCTTGTCGGGGGCTTCCAAGACATTCGGGAAGAGCAGTGTCAAACAGTGCATGAAACGGAGCATACGCAGATGCGGATGGCCTAGCTGCCGCCTGGCCCCCGAGAAGCGCGAGACCACATGTTGCAAGCTATGATGCTACCAAAAGGCTGGGATGAGGAGGATCTACGAATGCAATGGGAGGGGGTGAGGAGTCGGACATTTGGATATAATGCACGAGAGGCTGTGGAGTGGTGGGTAAGTTAGGGGATGTTGAGAGAAAGAAGTCTGAAATCCAGAAAGTTTGGGTCCTCACTCGACACGACCTTCCCTGATTTTTCGGGACGAAACTCTGCTGTGAAGCCATGACGTATTCTATCACATCATACGTGCACTGTAGATATAGATTACACGAGGTGAATTAGACTGAAATGGAGGTACAGGAAATCAAAGATAAAAATCTGGTTTCTTTGCATTGATACCATACTCGGCAAGTGCCGCGCCCAGATCATCCATAGTGAGCGTGGTCCTTGTTTTGTCCTATACCAGGTTGTGACATTAATACAAGCGAAAGTCTAACCAGTGTGACCTACCTTGGCAGCTCCCGAACCTGTGGGGTTCACCCGGGTACGACCACCAGCAGCGTTCGTACGTATACGGGCGTGTTGATATGCATCGGCGGCGATGTCCGACACAAACTTCTGTGCTGCTAGTGCGAGAAGTCGTTTGCTGGAAATGGCTTAAGCGTGCACAGTTGTTATTTATGTTTTATCAGCTGCTTACAGCCGTACATCGTCACATTCAAATCCTACTCTTTGAAGGTAGTAATCCGTAACCTCCGCTGGGATCTAATGGGAAGGGGGGTGACCCACTTACACTCGTTACCTGTGCATGCTGAAGTGCACGCACCAACGGTTCATATTCATCGAGCATAAGTAGAAATTCGGCCAGTGTACGGTCTTTCCTGGCTTCCTCTGCAGCTTGACGCGTCTGGTATTGCGTAGATGGGCCAGCAGTGCTTGATGATGCCGTGGTGCCGGAACCTGACGTGGCTAACGTGGTCGCCGTCGAAGACGATTGCTGCAAGACATCGGATTGGGTTTGAGGTTGAAAATATGTATACTGCGCTGGCTGGTTCTGAGATGTTTGGGTGTCAGATGGTCCTGGCGTCGACATGGCGTCGGTAGGGGAACCCAGGTGGCGGTGTCGGAGATTGAATTTGAGCGCGTAGCGGGGTATATAAGGTTCTCACGGCTGCCTTTCCATTCTTCGCTTTTTATCCTGTCTGTGGGCGACTCGGCCCAACTTGTACACCGCATACAGCAGGTAAGTAGTTGCGTATTCATGTCCGTCGGGAAGGTTCCATACCTTCGCAAGTGATGTTTGAGGCATTTGGCTTTATGTGGGGGATTTCCTGCAGTGCAGAGAACTATCTCAGCTACCTTCGGGTGGTGCTGCCTTGGCGGCATTTTCCCGCTTTGTCTGAATCTTTTCCTTGTCTTTAAACGCAGTATGCTAATAAGTCTCGTAGGGTTGTGCGCTCTAATGGCCGTTCTGGGGTTCTTTTTTTTTTCAAGGATATACGTGATAGTCGCTCGCAAGTCGAACGTTAAATGTCTTGTTGCTTTTTTACCTAAACATATTTGTCTAGTTTCGCCTTCTAGTGAATATAACAATTATCTGGAAAGTATCAGTCCGATCTTGAGGCTACCTTTCCGGCCAATGAATTTTTGATAACCGGAGGACCCGCAACACTACGACGACGTGCACTCAGGTGCTTGGGCGCTGATCGGGGCTAATAATTTAGCATGTACACAACGTTCTGCAAAAGGGGAAACCACGCGAAGACTCCGGTACACGGAAATGCTCTGCTCCCCAGCTTCCTGCGTGTGAGTCGATTCGCGGATAATCGACTGATGGCGTGTACGAAGCCTGCCCGCGTACGTACGTCCTACCAGCACTCGCTGACGGTATGAGTCCCTCAAACCTGTAGATCTTTCCTGTGGCAGGGACAACGCCTCCCTGTACATCGGGCAAAGAAAGTACCGTAGCTTGGATACTGGTTTCGGCGTCGAACTTGCTCCATACAACGCAGTTACGGCTTCCAAGTAACTTCAGCTGAGCAGGCAGTAGAGCTCCTCACTTGCTTGACCCGTTATAGTTATTCCTCCGTCATACCCCTGCTGTGCCGTGTGCGTTGCGGCGAAGGAATAAAGGGTGACCAACGCGGTAACTCGATAAGTTACTCCCAGGTACCTGCGGCCTCACTGACGGAACAGGCGTATCTAAACGGCACTCCTGATGCATTACAGTTGTCCTCCCTCCGGCATGAGCGCTGCATCAGAGGGCAGCACTAGTACAGGGTGTGCTAAAAGCGCAGCAAGACGCAGTAGGAAGGTCAACATCCTTTCTTGTGCTGAATGTCGCAGGTATCGCCGATATCACCATCCCAATCGCGACCGTGGTACTTACTGATCCCTTCATCTTATTTATGGCTGCACTACTTGTCAAAACTTCCAAAGGTCTAAGTTGAAATGCAGTAGGTGAGCTCTGGCGGCTACCTGGTGTAGTGGCGTACACTCACCTTCCTTCAGAGTGTTTCCCTGCGACTCGTGCGTGCGTCGAGGATGTTCAAAGATCTGTCCTGATAGTCTGTCTTCATAATTTATGCCGCATCGTGGTATATTCTAAGCCCTTTCATTATTAGAGGCTTTGCCACCTACTAAGGGAAACCAGTGCGTTTGGTCTATGTGCCCTTTACTTTCACACTACGAGCCGGGCATCTGACGTGTAGCTCGGTACCCCAGAGTCCTTATGGACCTAAACGTGAAACTTGCCGATGAAGTTAAGGCTATGACTGAAAAAATTAAACAACTTGAAAAAGAAAAAGCGTTGCCAAATGCCGGAGAAAGCTCCAACACCACGGAACAACCCCATACTCTAGGAGAGTCGTCTCGAGTGTCTGGTACACTGTTCGGTGCCGAAGGTCACAAACGTGAAGCAGCGGATGCGTTGGGGTCACTGTCGATTGGTCAGTTTGGCCAAGTCAGATATCACGGGGAATCAGCCGGTTCAGAGGTAATGAAATGATTTATGTCTCAGAACACCAGATTGGCTATCGTTTGCTAACAAATTACAGTGTTTTCAGCAACTTCTTACGGTTAGTGACTTCTCGGTTTGCATCCTCCATATGACTGACTCGTCACGATAGCCAAATAATATTTCAAGACCAGCTTCGACTTCTCCCAGAGACTTGGATTTACCTGCTGAAATTATTGAACTATGCAACGCGTTTCCATTCGGTTTACGAAAAACCACTTACACCAAGTATCTTTTCTTATCGTGCATCCCGACGCGTGAGCTTGCTCTTCACCTGGTGGACGTATACTATAAGGAGGTTGCGTGGATGTGAGTTGTGTTCTGTGAATTCGTTCCATTCAATGCCCGTCTGATGCCGTTCTTAAAGGTGCAACCCCATTGTCAGAAATGACTTCATGTCCGGCATTATCGATATCCTTTATGGACCACCTGGTCACCCCAATTTGGATCGAGTCCATTCTCACACCCTCTCTGTATTCTTCATTATTCTGGCATTAGGTGCCCTTTTTGACAGCGAACCGCGTGCGGCAGAACTGTATTCCGCTGTTGCGCGTGCAGCTCTGTGCCTTAATTCGATTTTCAACGAGGCGACCTGCTCAACGGTCCAAGCGCTACTGTTAATCACGCGTTTCGTATACGAACAGGACCGGCAGAATAACGAAGCAAGTTGGCTGTTGACTGGTCTATGCGCCAGAGTCGGACAAATCGTGAGTCGATGACGCCACTTCATAGTACCACTCACTCGAATTCTGACCACACCCTTTCAAATCGACAGATCGGACTACGTAAGTCCACGTGACACTTCTTCTATTATAGAGGCTGTTAACTGAGCGCTTTATTTCAAAGAACGAGACAGCGCTGGGTGGAATCTAGACCCGAGCGAGGTCCAACGACGCCGGGTCCTTTTTTGGGAACTATTTTCGTTTGATGCTTGGGTGGTTCGTTTCACGCCTTAAACGCGTAAACTTTGAGGCCTGATACACGCGCAGAGTATTGTCATTGGCAGGCCCCCTGCCTTGAGCATAAATCACACCGACTGCAAATTTCCGGAAGACAATGATATCGTAATTACACGCTCAGGCAATGCGGAGGCAGGCTGTAAGGCGGCTTCCATTCTTCATGGATGAAGATCTGATGCAATGTCTGGTTACAGGGTATAACTGGAAGTTTCGATACTCGGCAAATTGTTTATCAGCTTGCGTTAGTCATGCTTTCAACATACACCAACCTAGTATAGACTATTCTGCGGTGTTGGATCTAGACATCCAGATCCGTTATTTTATTGTTCCATCTCACCTCCAGGCCCCTGCAGGAGCGGAGGTAGATTGTGTCTGGTCCGGCGACAGCAGCAAGGCCATGCAACAATATTGTACCTCGTTTCTGCGGGCATCTAGTAGGCATCACAGTTCCGACTCCCGTAAATTTCCGCTCATATTGCGCGAAGACCTCCTCTATCTTCACAGAGGTTACTTCGCTCAGGCGATCGAAGAAGCCCCTGATGATCCCCTAACGCACAAATTCTCGCGGTCGGTTTCGGCAGCATATGGTAGCTCGCGGTTTCTGGTATCTAACCTCAAAAGCCTATATGCGGCACACCCCGGTCCCGTTAGCCGGCAGCGGTGGTTCTGGTCAAACTTTTTTTCGTCATGCGTGAGTACATATCGCTCGAGGTGACAATGTGGCATCTAATGGGCAATGGCAAGGTCGTCCTTGGGGCTTTGGCGGCGGACAGTCCTCGTTGCCAGTACGCTCAGGACGCGTCCAAGGAGCTGAATGATGCTCTTGTCCTGTACGAGCAACTGCCAGAGGCCCATCGCTCCCCAACTACACTGGTACGTCCCTCATTGACGCAGGTCAACACGAGAGGATCCTCATTACCTTCGCAGGCCGCTCTCCGAAAGCTGAGACAACGTACCACGGCTGCCATGGCGGCAGCGCGAGCAGGTGGCCTACCACTTCGGGGACCGCACAGCCCTTCCTTACCCGACGAACTCGACGTCCTCCGGGGCCGCAAAAGCATCATTACCAACCCGTTGCCTTCCAATTCGCCACCAATTCGCAGTCCATCGTACCTATCCACGACACTGAGCCAATCCCACGAGGAACTCGCAGAACAGTTGAGGCTGCTACCACAACCGCCACTTATGGGTTACCTGACTCCACAGTTTGACTCGGTGTACTTGGACTCGAGTACACACTATACTCCTGGACCCAACTCGGGCGACCATTTTGGAGGAAGCTTTTCATTTTTCGATCCCAATGTATGCCCTCGCACGCTGAGCATACCCGAGTACATCACACACCCTGCCACTGTGGACCCCAGCACATCACAGCAGTTGACAGCTGCGGTACAACATCCTCAGCAGCAGCAATTCCACCAGTTGCAACATCCAATTATGGTTCCTGACGCTGCTGTCGAGCAGTCGGAAAGCCGTGAAGGAGCCTGGCGACGATTCATGTATCTCCTTGGCATGAGTCGGGATGCGTAGGTCTTTCGCATGTACAAGCTGGCTTCCTTTGGCCGTGAATAAACTTCAAATGTCGTTTTTAGTGATCCTGTTGTTGTCAATTTATTCCATCGCCCCAAAATCAGGGACCCATTTTTATAAGATTAGGATCGTCCAGAGCCATTGCACTAGCATTGTCCTCCGCCTGCATGGCACTCAAAAGGGTGTCAAGATCCGGAGAAACGACATATCGCTTGTTGACTTCCCCGATGACGTGCAGCCGCTTATTTTCCATGTCCAAGTGAACTGCTTGCTGTAGGAACAAGGCCCGTGTGGCTTCGGAAACCTGAAGGGGTGGCTCAGTACTCCACCTTAGAGGCATCTGATGGGCAGAAATCCTACGTTTAAGAGAATATCGTTCCCAAGACGCATTTTCACTGCACCCGATCTGTAGACCTCGAGTTGGCCTATGACGCCATCGACTTTGGGGGCGTCCTTCTGCGCAGATGGATCACCATCGGCTGTTGCCGTAGAAGACGATGCGGCTACTGGTGCTGGTGGCTTTACATCAGCCGCAAACGATACCTTGCGTTGTTTCGTCTCCAAATTTTTTGAATCTGGTGTATCCACATCCATCGGTGTCGTTGAGTGGGACGCGACGCTCGAGACGAACGTAAAGAAAGGTTCTGGAAATTGGAAAAGGTAAAGGCGTTCTTGCCGAATGTCTTCTTCCTAAGGAAATGAAGTCAGTCTATTTCCCTCGCGACTATGAATACACACCTGTTCGATGTCCGCCTGGACAGCGAAGTCTGCGATGAGATCCTCGATTTCGGCATCTTCCTCGCTTTCGCTTTGCTCCAAAGGGTCAGCTGCGCCCTCAGGTTTGATAACGTCTCTCTCGGATGCTGCAGACGTCAGAGGGCGGATGGATTCGGTGTAATCGGGTATAGCTTACTTTTCCCTTTAGAACTTGCTGGTATCATAGGTTCCTCGATTTCTGCTTTTACCAACTTTTTCTTCTGTCTGTCTCGGCGCTCTTTGCGTAAGGTCTCGGGTGCCATCCAATCAAGCCTTCCAACATCCTCCATATCGATAATCACTACCCCTTCGTCCGGTTCCGAATAGACCTCTTCGTCACTTTCGCTTTTGATCTTCTTCTGGTCCGTGTTCTCTAGTACATTTTCGCGTTGCTTATCTTTCTTAAGTTGAGGGGGGCCAACATTGGATAGTTTACCGCCTAATGACGGAGAGGCCGTTGGGCCTTGCGGCAGTATAGGAGTAAAGTTTGAACGTGGTGCCGTACGGCGAGCCGAAGTCCCTGCAAGAGCGGGGCCCATCGCAAATGGACCACTGGCCGTCATTTCTACTTGGGAAGGTCTCGGAGCTGCTCCTTTCGATTCTCCGCCTCTACTTCTCCCTCTCCCGCGTCCGCGTCCATCTCCTCTGGCAGGGGCGGGCTGAGCACTTTCTGTTGGTGGCTCCTAAGAACCAGTTCACGTAACATTATATTGTTCCAGAACCCCAATACATACCGGCTTTACCTCTCTGCAACAGGTTCGTTTAGTCAGAAGGATTTAGACAACGGAAGGTACTTACCCCTTCTTCCTACGTGTTGGTAGTGTTGGGGCGAATTTGAGTTTTTGGGTGCCCAGTCTAGTCACGTCCGACTGCTTCTTAGCCAGACTTCCTATAGCCTTTGGAACGCCAGATGGACCGGCCTCCTGTTGCGACCCGCTCCTTTGTGAACTCGTAGAGCCATTGTCAGCCATTGACTTGGTCCCGGAGGTTTGAGATGAAATTATCTATCGGGGACAAATGATTACGCGTCACGTGGTTATCGTGTCTGCTATGCCTAGGCTGTCATCGACTGATTAGTACAGGTGGCAAGAAGCAAGTTTGTTCAGAAATCAGAGTACGGCGTGGGTTTATCTCTTCCTCTTACCACCATGGCTGCTGAATGCCCACACGTTCATGCAACTTACAATGAGATCCACACGATTATCAAGGAGAGCGCAGCCAAGATATCGCAATCATTCAAACCGGACGTGCTGATTGCAATCGGTTGGTGCACCTTCATCACGCGATATCTCGAGTACCCTCCTCATATCAACCCGTTTCTCTCCGTCTAGGAGGAGGGTGAGATATTCTGCCTTTGTCATCCGGCCCTGACCTCATGTCGGAAACCAATCAGTGGTTTCTTCCCTGCCCGAGTATTGGTAAGCCCCTCAGCCTTCTTCTCTTCTTATTCTCGAGCTCGTTTCCAACGTGGGGATCTTATCACGTCGTGTAACTACGTAGCGCACGTTTTTGAAGGATCCTCTTACGAAAAAGAACATTCCGATCCGAGCCATCGGCCTTTCGTTGTACGAGCCTCTGGCAGAGACATCTGCAGAGCAAATTGGAAAAGAAGTTATTCGCACACAATGGTTGTAAGCCATCACTACATTTGTGTGCGGTTAGTCATCCCTGATCTTTGACCGCTGCAGGACAGCAGACGGGACAAAATCCCTCCTTGGCCGAAAAGCTCTCGTCGTCGTGAGTGTCATGTTCGCGTCTTTCTGCTAAGTCGTTTAATCGGGGGTCCGCCGCAGGACGAAATCGATGATTCTCGCACAACCTTACAGTCAGTTTCTTATCGCAAGGGGTGCCCTGAGTGATCCCACATTCCTAATCAGATATGCCATTTCCGAACTCCAAAAAGATATCGAGCTTCATTTGCTAGACCTCCCGGAGTCAGAACGAGAAGCCAACCGCACTGAATTTGCAGCCTTTGTGGTTCACAACAAGACCAAGCCCAAGGCTGGCATCCTCCCACCAAACGTACCGTGAGTGCCAAGAACAAGCAATGCCTGCCAAACTGACAATTTTGGTTTAATCAGGTATTTTGCTGGCGCCGAAGTGGGTGACGTGTGGTAAGATGACGCCCATTTTACTCAGGGCTGGTGATAAGATACTGATTCTTGCGCAATCTCTTCGTAATACCGATGTAGGTTGGACTATCCGTGGGAGGCACTGTGTGTTTTTCGCTCGAATTCCTTTTCGATCCACTGATCTGTTCCCACAGAGACATTGAGGAGCACGACCAACTCGCGGCGCAGGACAGGCTGAATACGCAGGTGCATAGTTAGTTCTTGGGCACGAGGAAGTCTGTCAATATGTAATATCTGTCGTAGAAAGCTTATCAAGATTATTTGTGTGCGCGTTGTTTGGCTGTACTGTCAGTGTGTATTAGATGCCGACCGACACCAACTTTCCCTGAGTTACTCGTGACTTTAGTCCGACCTCTGCTTTTTCACCGGAAGACGGTCGCTTCCTGACCACCGCTCGCGGTCGTTTCATCCTTGGACCGACCAAGTTTCGCATTCCATTCGCAGGAGCTTGGGGAAGAGCGTGGGTTTCTTTCAGTTCAGTGTCTTGCAATATTATTCACTGTTCAGGGCACCGAACAACAGCTCGGTCGTAGATTCGGCTTATCTCTCACTCTTATTCCCACTTCAACTTAGACTAGATGGCCGACGAGGTCGACTATGAAGCGCTACCTTCCAATGCAGGTCTCGGTGTCAGTGTATCTGTCTTGTCATTTGCCTTCAATTCACTCATTCCCTTCCAGGTCAATATGATAGCAGGTGCCATGGTAAGCCACCTTCTCAACTAGCGCAGCGTCACGGGCGGGCCATCTCGAAAGTCAGATGGTCATTGTCCGCAACGATACTGCCACGGACAATAGAAGACGGGGAGCTCACGAACCTTTTTACAGGCCGGCATCACGGAGCACGCAGTCATGTTTCCTATAGACAGCATAAAAGTCAGCCATCGCATCCTTAGTTTTACTACCACTCGTGATACTAACGGACGCTGGGTTTTGCTCTTCAGACGCGAATGCAAGTTTTCGCCACGTCCCCGGCAGCGGTATACACAGGGATAGGGAACGCGTTCACTCGTATATCGTCTACGGAGGGCATGCGGGCCCTATGGCGAGGTGTTTCTTCGGTCATTTTGGGTGCAGGACCGGCACACGCGGTACATTTTGGGACGTATGAGTTTGTGAAGGATTTTGCAGGCGGAAGAGCAGGAGGGAACCAGCCGCTTACGACGGGTATGTTTCCTCCATCCTCATGGCCGTTATTGCGGTGTCACGCGGCCGCTGGTCTTGTTACGCAGATGCTTATCACCATTACTTGCAGCGATGGCGGGTGCAGCAGCAACCATCGCAAGCGATGCGCTTATGAATCCGTTTGACGGTGAGCTTCCCGTCGTTTCCGTTGATATAATTCCCACTAGCCGATTATCGATCATGCTTACAGTCATCAAGCAGCGGATGCAGGTTCACCAGTCTGAATTCCGATCTGTCTTTACCGCCATGCGGGTGGTTTACCGTAACGAAGGACTCGCCGCCTTCTACGTTTCGTATCCCACTACGTTGATGATGTCGGTCCCGTTTACGGCCGTGCAATTTACTGTCTACGAGCAAGTTAAGAGACTGTTGAATCCCCGAGGAGAGTATTCGCCTTCTTCGCACGTAATCGCCGGCGCACTTGCGGGAGGTGTGGCTGCCGGCGTGACAACCCCTCTGGACGTCGCCAAAACCCTGCTACAGACGCGAGGGACATCTCAAGATTCTGAGTTGCGGAGGGTAAGAGGCATGTGGGACGCATTCCGGATTATATGGACGCGGGACGGAGTGAGGGGGTTTTTCCGGGGCATGTCACCCCGAATGCTCACGCATATGCCAAGCAATGCTCTTTGTTGGCTTTCGTATGAATTCTTCAGTACGCCTTTTCTCTTGTCTTTCGTTACTGGGAGCTGACGTCGTCTTGTGCAGAGGTCGCAATACGCGAGTAATGCATCTCAATTTGGGGTTTAGGTAGCATCTTCACCACTGATCTTCGTCCTCATGTTTGGCTCTGCTACTACGTTACTACCATGCACCTAGTTTCCTGCAAGGGGCTTCTGCCAACTACGTGGGATGGAATCTAGCGAGTGCTGACTGGGGAGACAAAAAACCGTTGAGTAGGAGGTTTACCCTATATAGTCCAGCTGGGGCCTTGCCACTGAATGGAACTGCACCTGGATACCTCATGAGGTTGGTCGAACTGGTCCTTAAAGCCGATGTTGGGTACGTCTCATTAGCAACTCACAACTGACAAGATCAGAACTGCAATATCCTGATGAGCGATCCCTCGTGGAATAAGTACACCGATACGTTCTGATGGGTATATCTTGGCCAAACAACCTCACGCCAGCGGGTTTCATCGAACTGCGTCGTCTCCACCGGTACAGCAACCCCTTCCAATCCACGTAAGGGCAATGCGCACAACATCGTTGGTCCGTTCCACGAGCTGGGCATCCTCACTTTTCTTTCACTTAAGGTTATGTGGGTGAGGCAGTTTTCCGACCGCATGTCGGATTGATTCTGTCTCAGGTGCGCAGTAAGGCTTGAGGAAGTGAGGGTTCTCATGTTATACTTTACCGGTTTCCACCCAGGCAAACTTCACTCTTCTCAGCGACGATATCTCAGTTGCTCTTCTATCCATCAAGGATCTCATCTGAAAATGATGGGACGCGACATGTAACATCTGGCGTTTTCCTACCCTCAAATGGGGCCCGCGCCTGGGCCTGGGCCTTTGACTTCACTGGCGGTGATGTATCAGGGCTAATATTCTAACCTTTCCGATGTTGTCAAACTGAAGAAGAAAAAACATGTTCAAGCCAGGAAGAAGCGCGTTTAAGTTACAGGCCTCAACTGTGCTTACAAGCTACGTGCGAAGCAATGAAAGAAGTCCAAGAAACACCAGCTACGTCGTACTTTTGTCTCCTGCACGCAAAAATATTGCTGAGAGCGTCTTGCGTATGAAGGAAAATATGCTCCCTTCGGGTACCTCGAGTGGGCGCCTTTCGGTATCGCTGACAGTTAAACTACGGGCCGACTGAACCACCAGTAAGCTAGTTTCAACAAGCAAATTCATCAGTAAATAAGGACAGATACCTTAGCTTCTTGGTCTGCGACATGTTCCGAACATTCCGTGCTGGACAGCGAAACGTGATGTTCCCTGCGCATGGTCTCCTGGAAAATATCCGATAGTAAATAGGTCAGAGACGATATTGCAAGGGACATACGAGTGCTCGTTCAACCTCAGAGACCAGGCCCGATGCTTTCGGACGAGACGACGCATCGCTGCACCAACACGACGTACAAATTGACCACCATTCATCCGTCATGCGATCGTATGTGCTTTTCGTATCTGGACGCTCTGGTGGACCTTCCGAAACACGTTGTTTGATGCTCTGAAAACTTCGGCGATCAGAGAAGGGAATTTGACGGGTGAATAGTTCCTGAGAGCTAGTGTCAGAAGTCTGAACAACCGTGATGCATTCTAACGTACAAATGCAGTCATTCCGAATCCCCAAACATCCCCTGGCATGGTTATCTCTTGTTCATCAGATTCCAAAATTTCTGGTGCCGTCCAATTCAAAGCGCTTAAACTGGGGGCACTGATTGACATGCTGAAAGAACCATGAAGCAGATGAGGGAGTCCATAATCTGTTAGGAGCGCATGCCCTTGCTCAGATATTAGTATGTTGGACTTTCGAGAAAAGCTGTCAACGTATGTACGGCGTGGGGAAGCCAGTAGCTTCACGTACCCCCTTGAGACCTCCGTGAACCACTGGTTTAGATTGAAACTCGTGCAAGTATTGAAGTCCACGAGCGACGCCTAACAGCTGCATCGCGGATTTGTTAGGTGTGCGGCTTTCAATTACTTTGTCTACTTACCAAAGGGCGGGGGTCGACGTTCGAATCCTGGACATAGGCATGTGCATCGCCCCTCTCGACCCACTTAACCACCAGCGACACCGTAAGATCATATGTAGTAATGATTCCTAGCAGCGGGAGGACATTTTCGTGGTGCAGTGTGGACCAGAGATGCACCTCTTCGAGAACCCGCTAACAGAGGTCAGACCCAGCTGGAAACATCGATTTCAACATGGACTCCAAACCTTGATGGTGGCTTCGTCCTCCGGGGGACCGGAACGCAGGACCTTGACTGCTACCCTTGTTCCTGTGTTGCGTAAGGTTCCCTGGAAAACAACTGCATGACTGCCGCGAACGTAGTTTATCCTCTTGTCTAGGGTTACAGCCTCGTCCAAGTTGATTCCGAATGGTGTTGCCCATCCAGACAGTTGTTTCAGTTCCTGGCTCATATCACGCATTTTCCGGCGAGCGGAGGGACGAACGACGGCGTGGTACAATTGTGCCGTCTTGCATCGTGCAGGCGCAGCTTGGCACCAGGCGCTCGAGTACAACGTGAGCAGCCGAGCAGGCGAATTTGTGCCATTTGTCACAGCGCCAGTACGTGAACGTCATACGTGTCGTCGCAACACGCTTTACTACACCACTTCTAACGCTCGTACATTGAATAGAAAGGGAGAGATGGGTCTCACGGATGCACTGGAATTGCTGATGTACAGAAACTAATGGATGTAAAAATAAGTTTATTCCGGAGTCAAACTGGTCCGTCATGTCATAGGTAGAATGCGATGAATAAAATAGTATCCACTGCTGCATACAATTTGTGAGACCTTGTGAGGGTTGGGTACCAATTGTAAGGGTTTCATGTTGAAATCGAAAGCGATATGTTCCCACCTCCTTTTTCTCTGTGTACGTCCGACAAGATGGAAAACACGGCTACAACACGGTGCCCAAGGGGCTGACACGGAACACACTGGCAGCCAATCGAGAGGCGGAAACCCTTGCTTCTTACAATTTGCATTGCTCACGGTCCCAGGACCGACAGTAACAACGGGTCGCAGCCACGGTGGGATCGTAAACGAACGATCAAAAACGAAAAGGTTAGTATCAGCAGAATTTTAGCAGCGCTCAGGTGGGGCAGGGACCAGCTTTCGGTCAGTTGCTCCTTCGAATTATCGCCAAGATTTTTGGCTAAATCCCGTGAATGAAATATACGCGAACTATGGGGTTAAACTTCTGATTGGGAAGCGGCCGTGGTGGGTAATCGCATGCGAGAGTTGTGGCAAGTTGCCGACAGTTAGGATTCTAGGAATGGGAAACCAGCGCCGACAGTGTCTGGGCCAAATTAGTTCTAGTCTAAATCGTGGACAGCTAGTTTGGTGATTGACGCACGGAGCAAAGTACTCCAGATCCCAACTAAACGTTGTATTTGTTTGGTCAAACTGGTGACAGTATGCTGCAGGGTAGCTCTCTGTATGTGCTATGTCGCACGATCCCATCTCTGCTCTACCCAACTGATGTCCTTCCTTGATTGAGACACCAACATCTGAGACCTTATCACTTGTAACCGGCAGAGATACTGGGCGGTAGCAACGTAGTGCAAAAGAAGTCAGTTGAATCACAATACTACCAATCGTCACGCGGGGCTGCCTAGCGTTACGGCCACGTTGGAAGTGCTGAGTGTCGACCAGCACACCTCCGTTCATAACCACCACTCCAGTAAGTGTGAACCTTTTCAAGACTGATGCGGATTAACCAACTTTCTGGCCAGTCTGCTTTGCTGTCTATCTGTTGTGTTAGTATTCTGTCATCCCACCAACCGTTGGAGAAAATCTGAGCCCAACAACGACAGTAAGTGTGTTTCACTTCGTCTGTCTACTATACTTAGTTCCACTGAATAGAATGCGTTTGATCGATGTTTGTGCCCTCCTCGAAGTTGAGGGCGATTTATGCCAAGGACTGGACCCAGATACCGAAACTCGTCTTTTAGTTGACTTCTACGGTTCTGCCATGCCAGCAGGGAGCGAGTATGCGATCCTGTCGCACTGTTGGCAAGCACCTGAGAAAGGGGAGAAAGAAGTGCACTTTAAGGATATTAAGAAATTTATGACGATGAAACCAAAGAAGAGGGACGAAATTCGGAGGCGTGACGGGTACCGCAAAAGTTCTTGATACCTGCCGGCGGGCCAATGCGGATGGATTCCACTGGGCCTGGGTTGATACTTGTTGTATCAATAGGGAGAGCAGTTCGGAGCTATCCGAAGCGATCAACTCGATGTTCCAGTGGTATGCGAACTCGCAGCTATGTTATGTCTATCTCCAAGATGTTGAAGACGCCCTTCCTACCGAACGCGACGAAGAAAAGTTCCCGGAGTCTGGTGGTTGGCCCAAGTGGTTCACACGTGGCTGGACGCTTCAGGAGCTCGTCGCACCAAGAACCGTGCACTTCTTCAATCGCCACTGGTCATTCATCGGTGATAAGGAAGGCCTTGCGGATAATCTAAAGACAATCACGCGAATTCCACGCAGTGTCTTGAAACATGGTATTGGATTCCCTCGTCCGAGCGCGGCACAAATCCTGTCATGGGCTGCTGACAGAAGGACAACCCGAGTCGAAGACATTGCGTACTCGCTGTTGGGGCTTTTGGGTGTTAATATGCCTATGCTATATGGGGAAGGGACGAAGGCATTTCAGCGCCTTCAGGAGGAGATAATTCGCAGGTCTAATGACCTCAGCATTTTTGCGTGGGATCCTGATGCAAGGGTCCCTCGCACGACCAGTGTCCTCGCTGATGACCCCACCTGCTTTCGTGGCTGTCACAATATCAAGAAGGTGGAGTTTGATGAATTCATTAGGGAGCTAAAAGAAGTTATTCTGGAAGAAGACCTACATCAAGCCCGGCTGCAGACGTTTTCTGTCACAAATGGGGGAATTCAGATATGGCTACCTCTCACTCCCTATCATAACTGTCCATTTATTTTCAAAGCCACTCTGGCATGCCGCAGATATGGTGCCCTAGTGACCATTGATCTGGCACCCTGGAAGACCAAATACTATAGGTACTGTGGGGCTTCTGGGACTACGAAGTCACATTCTGTGATCCGACAGCTCTTCCTTGCTCATCAAGATGATGTACACAACGACTTCAACTTTGAGCTTGACTACAGAACCCTTCCCTACTATGGTTTCTCCTACTGCTCTTCCTTCCCCCCTAGGATGGGAAATGGTTCTGTCACGTTGACAAGAACTAATCCCCTCACTGTGGTGATGTTCAACAAGGATAGTGCTGGCTTTGCTGTTGTATTTGGCCAGTGTTTTGGTCAGGAGTGGGTACATGTGAAGTCTGGAACCTATATGAAGGAGAGTGTGCATGATTGGGAAAGTCATGCGAAGGAAATATATCATCAAGTTTGGAATATGGGTGCAGAACATGCCCATCTCATGGCAGATGCTAATTCTGGAAACTCTCTGTTTTACATGAAACATGTCCATGTTTCTCAATCCATATGGGCTGTGAAGATCATTTGTCGAGCTTGGAAGAAACCAAGGAAGTCCATGATTACAATTGATGTTAATCAATGTACTGGGTTTTGCCATAGTTCTCATAAGTGGATGGGTTTGAAAGTGGGTGCACTTCTTCTTTGAACATTCAAATTCTGATCATAATCCTCAAAGTTAGCTGCAAATGATCATGATATGCCTGGGCTCATGAGTGTGGACTGGTTCCCAGACAGCCACAGCTTATTAGTGGGTGGGAAGCAAGTTGAATTTTTATCCTGCACATCAAGAGGTACAAGTAAGTTGAAATTATTATCATTTCCCTCAGAGACTAATCCAAGGAGTTGGGGAGACTATGGCCACTGGAATTCAGAAAAGCAAATACTTGGAATGTGAGGGGAATATATTTGAAGACCTCAAGTTACTGGCTACCAGGCTTCATGTTAATCCATTGGATGCAGCCTTTATCTCCATCAAACAAAAAGTTGTCAACAAGTATGGCACAGGTATGGAGAATGATGGTGAGGTATTGATTCCTGCTTCCTTTGGTTTACTTATACTGTACCCATGCAGTTAGTTCTATCACTTCCAAATAATCAACAGATGGTTTTATTGTTAAAAGCACTGTCCACCCATCTCCCAGGCAGATGCTTAGTGACAAGGGTGGTCCAGAGTTGCCTACTTCACAGTAGACATCAAGGTGAGTCTTGTCACTAGGGAATGAACCCATCCATTTCTTTCAGTTGACACAGTCTACAGGTTCTCAGAGTAACCTAATTGCTTTCACAACCACAGGACCTGCCTTATTCACTTTTGCCCAACCATTGGTCTGGCAAGTGTGAATGAGGTTAACACAGAGATCAGCAGGCTGTTTGAAGATATCAGGTATTTTCAATGTATTGTCATCACAACATATGGTAATGTTCTGGAATATAGGAAACATTTTAATATTCTTGTGAACTCTGTAGGGTCATCATATTGTCAAGCTGTTCAATCTTTGGCTGATTGTATTGCAAGCATTCCCCAATAACAGTTGAAGATTATCACAGTGAAGGGCCTCAGTTTAATGAGGTTGGTTCCCATGTGGCAAAACAGAGGAATAGTCACTCCATTTTGCATAAGTTGGTATGTCCTCTGTAACAGCTATGTTAATGAGAGAGTCTTATTACTTATAATCCATGATCAGTTTGGCTTTCAAATTATAGCTGCCCAGGGTAACAATACTCCCCAGACTGATGATTATCAGAAGCAAGATGCAGTCAAGTTTTTTATGGGTATGTTTGGCATCCAGCACCTAAAAGACTATGTAAGTGTTGCAGGGATGCAATAATCCTACTTTATTTTATGATTTTTCAGATTGGCAGCATAACTTTCTTCAATCACCTTCCCAAACTTTTGGATGCTGGTGCCAGCAGTAGCAACCTATCTCAAACATTGGCAGGTACAAGCAAATAGTATATTACTCATTGCTTCCCTACTCATTCATCTAGTAAATGGTGACCAAATGGTCAATGATCCATACATCATGACCCTAGTATCAAAGTTAATCCAGAGGATGCCAATTAATACTGGCAGGAATTCCATTGACTGGAAACTCTGGAAGTCTGAAAAAAGACAGGTGGAATCTGATGTAGAGACAATCTCCAACACCCTTGGTATGATGGTATGGTATTTCTGTGCATTTTCTAAGGAAGCAACAAGCTCATCTTTTTTCAATGAACAGCTACTTGGTGTTATAAGTGCTGCATATCATTGCACACAGAAGTTTAAAGTTGGTAGTATTCCTAATTTCAAATCCTTGGATGTTCATATTTCATGACTACAGGGAAATAGGAAGAGAAAATCAGAAGCAATCAGTAATGTTAAAATATATAATCCATCCCTTGGATAATTCACTTAATTGGTGTTAGCTTTCAGACAATGGTTCAGGAAATAATCACACTCCAAAGTGAACTTGGCACAACACCTTCAAAGTTTGTAGCAGGAGATAAACACCAAGCACTGGAGGAAGACATTGTAGGGAAGGTGAGCAAATCTATTAATGCATGTTTAGCATGATTCATTCCATGTGTAAAATAGATATTATGGACATGTCTGCATGGTATCCAATTAGAAATTGAAGGAGTGCTGGCAAAAGCAAGCCAACTATTTCACCCTTGTGCATGTGGCCTAACTTTCAATACTAGGTGGTACATTGTGTCTTGAATGATAAATCAGCCACTACTGAAGTTCTAGAAAAGAGGAATGAGGTAAATCCCATGTCTATCAAGAGAGGCACTGAAACATGATCAATAGCTCTTGCAAGAAATGGGTCATATTTTTAGCAATGCTCTGTCTAAACTGCAAAGTGATGACCAACCCTATCTATGGCAGTAAGTAGTCATGATTGGCTTCAAGGAATTTGCTAAACTCACATTTCAACTTAGGGTTACATGCAATGCCAAGTTGGGGATTTTGAAGCACCAGTTGTATAATGCTGAACAAGCAAAACATGAGAGCATGAGTCTTACTGGGAAGGAGTCCTCAAATTCATAAATAGGGACTACTGTCTCTCATTGGGCATACAATCTATGGTTTATGCATCCTCAACCAACTTGTTATACCAGATAGTAAATATACAGTACTTCACTTCAAGAAATGTAACACCCAACAAATCAGTGAAGGAGTCAAGGGCAAGATAATGTATGTGCCTTTAGCTTGGATGGAGATTAGTGAGAAACCTCTAACATGATTGGCGAGTGGAACAACACCGTACATGGTCACACTCATACTCTACCTATGGAAAATTGAGAGAGCACACACATACGGTCGTAAACGACTAGACCTGAGGGTATCCGTCAAGCTTCTATGTATTAACCTTAGCATATGTCCAAAGGCATGGCCAGCAAGAAGTGCTAAATCAACGTCCTTCGTCACACCTACTTTCCTCTACCCCGAAATCCTTTGGTATCTCACTTGGAGGTGCATCTGCTCCTGACGTGCGTGCAACGATGTACTTCCCAATCGGAGCAACGGCGGCTAAACCACCAGGTAGCCCCTCAGCACTCTCGTGGATAGAAACCTGTAGATAGCGTGCGCAAGAGCTGACGCGCCCCGACATCTGCAGTGGTAGACGGCGCCCTCGAACGCGCGGGGACGACATAGGTCTGGCCAGGGAAGGGTACCTGGTTGTTGCTTGTCGGAAGGCCCTCCGTACCACAGGGCCATGGGTGCTGCGATGAAGATGCCGGAGGAGAATTATAGGTAAATGGTTGACGGGGAGGTTGTATAATACTGGACCTCCGTGCGTAAGTGACTACGGGATCCGTCGGTGTAGGTGGGGGAAGCAATGCGTGAGGTAACAGTGCCAAGAGCCGTCTCTGTTCCTTCTTCGATACGTTCGGGACTGCCTACCAGCGGAAGTGATCCTACGCCCGAAATGTTGCTGGTGTCCTCCCTCCCTATGGGTTCTTTGACTGACTGAGCGTGCTGGGGATTCTTTGACAGAAGGTTGACTGGACTCCTCAGACACTGGGGGCAATGGGGCCTCTTCTTCCTTGAGTCCCCGCACATCCAATCTATAGTCCTGGATCTCATTCCAGATCGCCTCACGGAATTCCTCTAGTGTCTCCAGCTTCTCGATATCCTTCCACTTCTCAAATTTGTTTACGCACTCCGGTTCGTCGCTATCGTCGTGGTACGTAGATAACCATGGGTGCGCCAGCGCTTCATACACAGCGGTTCGCGACAACGGGTCAAATGAGAGCATCTTCCGCAGGAGGTCCAAAGCTTTTTCTGCATCAACAAGTGTGAAACAATGAGACTTGCATGGTTACCTTGATGATCTGCCGCTGGCAGCAGCCTCGAGAAGGGGATAGGTTCTTTGACTGGAAGCGTTCTCACGTAGACTTGTGCCTGGTTTTCGTAAGTCAAATGAGCCGCGCGTCATTGGTTGTTGGTACCTTATCACTTCCTATTCGTTGGATAACGGATTCTTCTGGAGTACCTATTACCAGGGAAAGTCAATCGTGCTTTGATGCCATATGTCGTGAGACAGGCTCACCCAAAACATCAAATATCTTGTTAAGTTGATCCACTATCGGGAGTTGATCCTCATTAGATGTGCATTGTGGAGAATCCCAATCGCCTACCATAACTGAGAGGAAGGTATCCAGCTGAATGTGCACGAAGGGTAGAGCTAGACTTACTCTTTCCCCTTGAATAACGGTCTTCCGAGTAGTAGTTCTGCGAAAATGCACCCTATAGACCACACATCAACTGTCCCAGTTGAGATGCTCAAATCAGAAACGTCATATACAAGACTTGGCTTACTCGCTGTCGTGTATCGTCTATAAACACAAAATTGAGGAACGCTGCAAGTAAGGGGCTCACGTATCCAATCACCTGAATGACAACATGATTTCCGGTGCTCTATACCACCGCGTAGCGACGTATTCAGTAAGCTGACCGCCGATATGTTCGTCTGGTGTGGAATCGAATCCTCGGCTTAAACCGAAGTCGCATATCTTCAGTTCGCAGTCCGAATTCACCAATAGGTTTCCAGGTTTGAGATCGCGATGAATGACGGAGGCAGAGTGTATATACTTCATCCCTGTGCATTAAGTAAGTACGATGCACACGTATTTGCATGAATAGGGACCTCTAAGGATTTGATAAAGGAAATACTGAACGTGCTCGTTAGTAAGAGTCTGTCCAGACTTGATTATTTGGTGCAAATCCGCTATGGAATCCCAGTGAGATCAACCTCGAGCACAGGAAAAGCAAACACGGACCTTCCATAGGCTACAGAGCTAAAGATCAGTTGAAGCTCCGCAGCACAGATGCCAGCGGCTTACCTCCATGAAAATATATCTGTCACACGAGTGAGTATTTCAAATACATGTCAGAGGAAGAGCACGAACATTTCTTGAAAATCGGGAGAGATAGCGTCCATATCAATTAACCCAGTGATGTTTTCATGGTTGGAGAAATGCCTGAGAAGAGTGATCTCCCGGAGCGCCCTCTTCGCGAGTTGAATCTTTTCGAATATTCGTGTGACTAACTTGATAGCAACCGTTTCGCCTGATATCTGGTCGGTTGCAGACCTGTGGGTGCAAGATAAGCATTGCCACCGGACATGGAACACGTCTCACGCACACAACCACGCCGTACGCACCCGACCCCATCTCCCTCACTAGCTTCCACCGTTTCTCGACGTGGAAGACCTTCCCAAACGATGACGTGAACATGTGGTACCCTCTGTAAACCACTGTTAATACCAGTTCCAGCCACGAACGTTGGGTAAACGTACTTCTTCCGCATGTTGCACTCGTTGAGCTGGTTGGACTTCCTTCGGACGCGTGATCTGCCACGATCCAGGATCTCCGAGTCGTCAGATGCGACTGGAGGGGAAGACTGGTTGTCGTTATCCTTTGTGTTGTTTGCCATGAGGAAGCAGTGTGAACGGGGAATTTACCCAACCTCGTACTTGTGAGGTCATGCCACCACCACCTTGCCGATGGAAGTTAATACACTCACTTCGTGTGGCACATGCACCACTCTATGGTATGCCGTGGTTCGATAGTCCAGTACGGCGTTTATATATTGTTCTGGCCGTCGTGCTGGGACGGCGAGATAAGGCGAGTGCGCTGGTTACTCGGCATCCTACATTATCATAAGCTTTGCCATTGATATGCCCACGGAAATAGTAACAAATTGGTATATGAAACTCGGACTCTTCGGTTGACTTTGCAGCGGGTTAAGCTTATCTCCCCACAAAAACTCCTCTTCGCGAAGGTTCGCCAGCTTGGGAATACATACTACAATTACTTACTACTCAGAAGCCCGCTCTTGCCGTAGGTCACTCCATTGCAGGGTAGTACCCCAATTTCTTGCGTCCAATACACTTGCCCCACTGCTTTTTCAAATTCCGTCGTATCTTCCTCTCAATCTTGAAGGGAAAAGCCTCCGCATGGCCGTGGAATGCAAGGCGCAAGCAATATGCACAGGCTTCAATGGAGCATGAGAAGGTGTCTGAGTCACTAGCTACATTGTGTCTGCGGAACGTCGGTAAACGCGGGCGCGCATACCCTGCAAGACCGTCTCCGAAACAACGGTTGTGGTTACCTTCCAGCCATTGGTAAAGTTGCGGTGTGTTGATAGCGTATAGTGGAAGGAACGAATCACTCCCGAGGTACGTTGGCGGGGCAGGACGAAAACCAACCTCTCGTGCCCATCTTCCCCCTCTCTTACGTGTACTCCTTTCTTCTCGTGTCTTCTCGATGTCGACGAGCCTGTCAAATCGTGTCATAACGATGATGCAACAGACATACGAGACCCATAGCCACCTGTACAGATCAGAAGTCCTACAGAGTAGCGGGCATTAGCGCGTTGGTCGATGCGCTAAACCAGCGCCTTCGACACATGTATGCACATAGCGCGACATAGCCAGTCTGAAACATGAACGGTCTCATTGAGTTAGCAAGAACGTACCATTTCTGTAACAAGAGCGGCTCGTCTGTGCCATCAGCATGTCCGAAGACGACGTGTGTGAGGACGGGAGCAGATAGTGGTATTATTGACTTTGTGGTTGTCATCCGGGTTGGTGCCGAGACAGAAAAAAAGCCAGGACATCTGTCGGATGGGAATGGGTTGTTGGGAGCGATGAGTGCAGACAAAAAGGATGGACAGCAGCAGAAACAAAGTGGCGATGTGCACTAATGCAGCACAGTGGTCCGTGCGTCACCCACAACGTGATAATGGCGTCTAATTTCGAACAGCACCACTTTCTCGTTTACCTCCTCAACCTCAAACCAAAGCCCAAACCTGCAGCAGATCCATTTTTCGATGGCTAGAATGCGGTCAAAGAAACGTCGTCTTTTGGGATTTTTGAAGCCGTCCAACTCGATGTCCGGCCTTGCCTCGGTGCGTCGCCATCCATTCCTCAAGATGTATTAATCAATCGCAAAAAAATCAGTCCCCAAGGTGGTCTGAAACTCGTCCAGGCGATTTCGCCTCCGTACCTCAAGCATTGAGTGCGGCCTCACCGGGTATGCTTGCTAGAGCGAAGCGCTTCTTCTATCGATCGGGTCAAGGTTCTTCAACCCCCATCGCGACAGAAATTGCCGACACAGGTACCAGTGGGAGAACTCACGAGCAACGGGAGCCGCCTGAGGCAGCTCTGAGTCAATATGTATGTGATCCACCACGTCCAATTAATGTAATGACCCAAGCATTAATGGAAGGGTGCCGTCGCAAGCACCAGTTTCGGGGCTCAAAAGCGACAAGAGCAAGCCCAGTCGGCTCCAACCAACGATGTATGTGATATATGGTGTCCAACAACTACGATGGTGAAGCAACCCTGTTGTACAGGCTGAAAAGTCAATCGCCAAACCAGATCCAGAACTCACGCCGGCATCAGCTGGCAAGGATGTTGATACTGCAGTAAAAGATTTTGATGACCTTTGTCCTATCTCGCGTACCGCTCAAGGTGCTGTCGATGCCGTCGGTATCGCTAATACCACATTCCCCGAGATCCTGTACTTAAGTGATACGTATCTCAAAACCTTTCAAAGTTTTCAATCAAGTCGTTTCCACTCTTGCCAATGTAAGCATTCCATTTTTTGCACCCGTCCAGTGATTGCATGTATGCATCAGTTCCACCCATACGCACAGGCTGCGCTAGGAATCTTAACCTCTGTCTTTGAGGTACGTTCTTCATTCCAACTCACGCTGGTCATCTCAAGCGTCGTCCTCAGTTGCTCCTGAACCAAGTCAATCTAGACATGGCAGTGTCTGACCTCCTGAGTACCGTGCGAAGTGTCTACGAATTTTTTATGGAACACGATAGGATTAGCAACCTCGACAAGGATACCCTTGCAAAGTTTGCACGAGCTATAAGCGACTGTGCGCATTTCATAAACAACTACTCCGTGACGAAAAGTTTTTGTGGGTAACGCGCTCCTATCGGCTTTGAGATCCTGACAGAATACTAGGGAAAAGAATGGGAAAGCACATTTTGTCCGAGACACGAACCGTCGTCGATGGCCACGCGAAGACCCTAGAAATCTTGATGCAACAATGCCGTGATTATGTGGCGCGGGACATTCAGGTTACCACATACCGTATATTTGAGGACATCAACCTCGAAGGCATGGCCTATGCAGACGGGGCGGGGCTCAACATAACGAAGAAATGCCTTGATGGAACGAGGACAGAGATCTTGGAGGAGATCATGAAGTGGATCAACAATCCTGACGACGACGCTCCGCGCATCTTTTGGCTTCATGGGCAGGCCGGCAGGGGAAAATCGGCCATTGCTCATACAGTTGCATCTTGGATCAAAGACGTGGGCGGACTTGGGTCTTGCTTTTGTTTTGCTCGTGATCGGCAGGCTGAACGCCGAGAGGAGAAGATTTTGACGACAATTGCTCGTGATCTGGCGGACCGAGAGCCAACATTTCGGCGTGCAGTGGCGGACATCGTCGCAAACGACCGCTCCCTCAGGACTACACCTGACGTGACGCAACAGTGGAAGCGACTCATTCTGGAGCCGTTGTCTAAGGTTAACGGGATGATAGTTAGGAATTTGGTCGTGGTGATAGATGCTTTGGACGGAAGTGGGCCGGAAACGTCGAGAGAGCACATCCTATCTCTTCCCGCATCGCCGGAAGCCGCCCGTCTGCGTTCCAGTTTCCGCTTCCTCTTGAGGTCCAGACCGCTCCCAGACATCGGACTTGTCCTGAGTACTACTGTGCATGTTAAAGCCGTCTCGTTGGACGCCATCTCTGCAGTATCAGCAGAGCGCGACATCCGATTATATGTTTCCACCGAGCTTCGCCGTCTGCCAGAGATTGGAGCCACAGAAGTGCTGAACATTGCTGAAAAGTCAGATAGTCTACTTGAATGGGCTCGTCTGGCCTGCGGGTTCGTCAAGCCTAGTAGGCCAGGTCGAACAGTGATGGAGCGCTGCAAGGAGATCGCATTCCCTCATTCCGGAGGTGGGGAAACCCTGCTGGATGTGATGTACAGAACAATCCTGGAGGATATGGTACCCCCGGATGAGACCACGCTAGCACGGTTCCGCTCTGTGATGCAGCAGATCATGACGACGTGTGCACCCCAGCAATTGGGCACCTTAAGTGAGATGCGCAGTTACTTCCCCTCCAAGGAAGAGCATTTCAACATCAGTATCATTCTCGAATTCATGGCACCTCTGTTGAATGGCATTGCAGGCAGACGTTCTGTTGTTCGACCTCTCCATGCATCCTTCTACGACTTCCTCATTGGTCACTCACGGAGTGGGGTATACTGTGTTGGTGCATCCAGCACTGGAATGGATAGTGCCCTTGCCTTTGCTTCATTGGACACCCTGTGCAAAGACTTGAAATTCAACATCTGTGGATTGGACAGTTCCTACTGCTGTAACTCAGATAGTTGATCTACAGGAGAGAATCAATCAAAATATCTTGTGCAATCTATCCTACTTGTGCCAATACTGGGCCAACCATCTGCAGAAAGTTGTATTCAACTCTAGACTTGCAACATTGGTAACAGCAGTTGTTGGAAGTGAAAAGATTATCTTCTGGTTGGAGGCACTGAGTCTTATTGGTGGACAGGCTTCAAGTGCTCTTGCCTATACAATGTTATGGCTACAGGTGGGTGAACCAGCATGGTGATTGATGTCTCCTAATCTAATGTCCAAGGGCCAGGATGGATTTGAGGAAACCTGGGATCAAATTTGTGCGGAACTTTGGGAATGTGATCTCCCACAGCACCCCACACCTTTATATTTCTGCACTACCATTTACACCATCAAACACAATACTTGCTAGAATGTTCATGGCAAAATTTTCTTACCTTGTTAGGGTTTCTGTAGGATGGCTTAAAGAATGGCCAGCTGCTCAAGTTACAATGTGGGGCCATACTAGTGGAGTCTTGTCAGTTGGATTCTCCTCTGATGGCAAGAGGATTGTGTCAAGCTCTTCTGATATGACTGTGAGGATCTGGGATGCTGAGAAGGTGTCCATATTAGTTGCTCTCTTGAGGGGCATACTGGTGGGGTCCTGTCAGTTGGATTCTTCTCTGATGGCAAGAGGGTTGTCTCAGGCTCTTCTGAAAAAACTGTGAGAATATGAGATGCTGAGAGGGGTGTTGAGGTTGGTGGCCCTCTTGAGGGGCATACTGGTGTAGTCCTGTCAGTTGGATTCTCATCTAATGGGAAGAGGATTGTGTCAGGCTCTGATGACAACACTGTGAGGATCTGGGATGCAGAGAAAGGTGTCCAGACTGGTGGCCCTCTTGAGGGGCATAGTGATTGTGTCAACTCAGTTGGATTCTCCCCTGATGGCAAGAAGATTGTCTCAGGCTCAGATGACAACACTGAGGATCTGGGATGCAGAGAGAGGAGTCTAGATTGGTGACCCACTTCAGGGACATAGTGATTGGGTCAACTCAGTTGGTTTCTCTTCTGATGGCAAGAGGATTGTCTCAGGCTCTTTTGATAAGGCTATGAGGATCTGGGATGCTGAGGGAGGTGTCCAGATTGATGGCCCCCTTGAGGGGCATAGTGATTGTGTCAACTCAGTTGGATTCTCCTCTGATGGCAAGAGGGTTGTGTCAGGCTCTTCTGACAGGACTGTGAGTATCTGGGATGCTGAGAAAGTGGTTAAGATTGGTGGCCCTCTTCAGGGGCATTCTGGTGGAGTCTACTCAGTTGGATTCTCCTCTGATGGCAAGAGAATTGTGTCAGGCTCTTCTGACAACACTGTGAGGATCTGGGATGCTGAGAGGGGTGTTTAGATTGGTGGGCCTCTTCAGGGGCATATTGATTGGGTCAGCTCAGTGGGATTCTCCTTTGATGGCAAGAAGATTGTTCCAGGCCCAGAAGTCAAGACCATGAGGATCTGGGATGCTGTGAGAGGAGTCCAGATTGGTTTCCCTCTTCATGGGAACTCTGGTGCAGTCAACTCAGTCAGTTTCTCCTCTGATGGCAAGAGGATTATCTCAGGCTCTTCTGACAAGACTGTGAGGGTCTGGAGTGCTTAGAGAGGTGTCCAGATTGGTGGCTCTCTTCAGGGACATACTGATAGGGTCACCTCAGTTGGATTCTCCTCTGATTGCAACAAGATTGTCTCAGGCTCTTTTGACAAGACTGTGAGGATCTGGGACACTGAGAGAGTTATCCAGATGGATCAATGTCTCCTGGGGCACAGTGGGAGGGTCAACTCAGCTCAATCCTCTGATGGCAGGAGAATCTCTTAGGGTCAGAGAATAACATGGTCTGGGAGACTGGTGGTCATGAAGCTGGCCACTCAATGTGTGTTGCCTACAACCCAAAGGGTGTAAATGTTCTGTCCCACATCATTAATTGTGAGTCATAATCATTTTTTTATCTGTTCTCACATTATTAAGCCAACTTAAATTTATCACAGCTTATCCAATCTGCTTTTCATCAATCTCTTCACATGGCTTATTGAACACTCAGGAATTCCTTGATGGACTTCTGGAGGAAGATGGGGATGTAATATATGAGCCAGTGAAGTGTTTTAATGATGGCTGGGTCAGAGGTCCAAAGGGGAGATTGTTGCTTTGGATACCTCCCACATTCTGGAGTCCATTTTATTCAATGTGGAATGCCATAGTAATCCCCAAGGGTAGCTGTATAGAGTTGGACTGAAGCCAGATGGTTCATGGTACCCACTGGACTTGATGCTTCAAGCCAGTTGGTTGACACTGGTATGATCTACATATGTAACTTTGTATTCCATACTGTGGAAACAGTGTTCAATGGATTGGAATGAGAGCTCTGCTGTTTCCTTGCACAGGTCATCACTTTGACATAATGGCCACAAATCTGAATGTCTGTCCTAGTGCTGCATGCAGAGGTCTTTTGGAACTTGGACAGATGATCAATGAGGACATAGCACCAGTGCCACAGGTTATGTTGAAATGCCAATGAGATTCGTCCCTATTTACTGTTATGCTATCAGAGGTATGACATGTATGTACTTATCATAAATAGAGGTCCATCTCTTTAACTTCCTCATCACATAACATAGTAGTGGAAACATGCAATATAGGTATGGTAGCTATCACAGCATCCACAACTGAGGGTTTTGCTAGATTTCTTTGTGATTAACCATGACAAGAATGGTGTTGAGATGAATGGAGCTAGTGATCTTTATCTTGTTGCAGCTTGGTTAACTTAACTGTTTGTCAACCTATGTTAGCCTATCATTCACTACTCCCTACTCATGCAATGATATCCACTACCTGTGAATACAATACTTATGAGCAAATTAGCAGAAGTAAGCTTTTTTGACTTTTACCAGACTCTTTTCTTGGTAGCAATCAGCAGCCAAGAGATATATGGACAAAATACAGTAGGCATTGCAGGAATAAAAAGTTGAATGAGCAAAATGCATCTCTACTCACCAATCCAGCTCTTCTGCAGTCTAAGTAATGCAGGAACATTTTCTGGCACATTTTTGATGCATTATGAAATGTACTTGCATTCAAATTGTTAGGACTGTGGGAGTGCCCAAGAGAGGTGGAGTTCATCACAGGAAGAATGTTTGATTCAGAGGTAGGTGGGGGGGATGTGCTTGTAGTACAGTAGACACAGCAAGAATGATTTAATATTTATCCAGTCATGTGATTGTGAGTTGTACTACATTAGAACCTAATCAGCCATCAGCATCAGGAGTTATCCAACATGCCCTGGCAGTTCCATACCATATGTACTGTACCTTAATATTCCCCTAAGGATCAAACCAATCCAGCTGATCAATCAACTCTAACATCATCTTCTGAACCTCATTGTCCCCCCTGCTTCATGATGATCAAACACTCTATATGTGTTGAGGCCATAAGCTGAGG